TATTCAAGGATTTTTTCGCCCTTTTTTTTAGAAGATTGTTTTATTTTTTGCCATATTATTTAACTTTTAGTAATAGTGGCCATATGGGTTGGCTGTAGGAGTCATCGAATGTGTTTCTGAATGATGAACACCCAAGGACATTTTCCATCAAAATGTTGTCCCATTTGACCAAGCAGTTTCAGAAGAGAAGACTTGTTGGCAAATGTTTCCATTCTTAGTAAAGGTGGCCTTATTGGGTAGCAGCTAGGGTCGAAAGACATAATTTTGATAATAATTTTTTTTTTCCAAAATAAGCCTAATTCGCATAATCAGTAAAATTACCAAAAGAATATTTTTTAGAAAAAAATGAAATAAATGGTAAACAATTCTTTCTTATGATCTACAGTTCTACATGATATAAAAATAAGAAGAAGTGGTATAATTGCCAATGAGACAACTCTCCATCAGAGACCAAATGACATAGAGGCCACCGTATGGCCTTCAACGATGAGCAAAACCCAAGCCGCATAGTCAGTTACAAAAAGGCCCCGAAATTACAAATGTAAAACAATTCAAACGAGAAAACTAACTGCCTGATTTATGTAAAAAGACCACTTTTGCTGAAAAAAATTAAGTAATTTTAACCATTTAAAAAAAAAAGTATTTGTCTTAACATTGGCCATTTTGGATGGAGGTCAGGGTTATGGAATACACTTGCTTGAGGGAACTATCCAATGATCAGCCATGGCAAGTTTGGTTTCAGAAGAGAAGAATAAAATGTTAAAGGATAGGGTCCTATGTGAAACTATGTAACATAGTGGCAGCCATCTTGAATTTTTGTCAGCACCAAAAACAAAAATTTTGTTAAGGACCAAGATCTTATCATTCTGCAAAATTATCAGTTCAATCTGTAATTCAGTTTCAGAGAAGGAGATCTTTGTTTGTATTTCTTTTTTGGTCCTATGTTGAACTATGTCCTGCCGTTGCAGCCATCTTTGGATCGGCACCAAAAACACATACTTGTATTACCAAAATCTGATTATTCAGGCACAATATCAATTTGATCTGTCAAACGTTTAACTGGGAAGTTGTTTGTATGTACTTCCCATAGGGTTTTATGTTAACTGTGATGATTTTAATAGTTCTTGACATATTGACCTCTGTCAATTGTTGTATATGTATGATCTATTCTTTTGAATATTATTGTTGTTTGGTTGCTGTCTCATTGACGCACTCCAACATCTCATGCTATTCAAATGAAATAACACACGGACAAAATAAAAATACTTACCTTAAAAAATTATAATTGGGTGAAAAACTATACCTACCTTTGAATTGTTTTTCCAAATGTCCAATGTCACCTTTCATACCAGTGCTGTCTCGACTACAAACAGATATATTATCTGTAAATTACAGGATTTAGTCAATGATCTAAGACCTTATTTTCCTCAACGACTTATTCTATGTGTTCTGGTGGGATTAACTTTTGAATTCTTTTGGATACCTATAACAAAAGTTACTGCATCAAATATCTTGCATGAATTTGCAAACAGTTGTCATATAAATTTTACTTATTCATTAAAAGCATAAAATATGACATCAATAAGCCCATTTATGATAAAAAAAAAAAATTGAATTCTGTAGGACAATGTATAATGAAGAAAGTTCTAAAGTTTTATGAAAATCCAAGCTAATTTGAAAAAATTGAAAACAATTTTAAAGCAACAATCTGAATTCAATCACAAATGAACAGTCAATTTTTTCATCTTTTCATAAAAGTCATTACATTCGAAAGCAAAATATGAAGTAACATTTGGAATTTGTAAAAAAGAGTATATATTGTATATAGCTATGAAGTGTAATGAAAATCCCATACCATTTGAAAAATAAATTGTAATTTTCAAAGATGACTGGCTGATCAATTTAAAGTTAGGTCCCTTTTACGGTAAGATCATTTGCAAATTAGCAAGGATTTATATACATTTTAAATTGAGATAATAACAACACGATTGTCAAGGGTTTGTTGCTTTTAACAATGTTTTACTCTAATTTCATCTTAAAAAACTGAGGCAGAGCCTATATTTCACTCCCCTGCACCTATCCATCCCACAGAAGGAAAGCATTTGGTTGATACATCAAAAAGCCTTTGTTGTGAGTTAATTAATGTACAGTAGTTCCTCTATTCAAATATCTGGTAGTACATTGTTATATTAAGTCTCTTAAGATTCACGGTTGTTTGGTTGTTTGGTTGTTTGTTTAATTTTTTGAATCTTAAATATAATATTTCAAAAGAATTTTGTAATTTTGTAAAAATTTTGCCTGCAGTGACCAGGGTTTTTTCTTAGGAGTGGGGTGTTTTTAAGAAAAAAGGCAATATTTTCTGTGTAACACAAGAGCTTTAACTACCTGCTTTTTGGGGTTTTTTTTTTGTTCATGTGTCAAAACACTGAATTTACATAAATATATGAATACATGTATATAATTTTATTACTGACAAGTAAAACAGAATGAAGGACTCTCCATTGATGATCAGAAAATAATAATTTCAAGACTGAGTGATTTACTTTGCTCCATCCATAAATTCTAAATTAAAACCAGAATAAAACTAAGCTTATACATCCCGTATTTATAGTTTGATATTCATTCAAATATATTTTGAAAAGAATAACACAGAGCAAAATAAGTATCATGTATCAGGAAGGATGAAGCAACAAATTGCATAAAAAAGAATCGTTTAGTGTACCAGGACAAATAAAAAGAAAACGATATTGTTATTTGATTTAAAATGATATTGAATTACATTAACAACAATAAATATAAGATTTATTGAAAAAGACTATGGACCCTCTCATCCCTTTAATAAATAAACAGTCCCTTTAAGAACATGTACTGGTACACAACAGACCACGTGGATTTTGCTTTTTCCACTTTCCCACTGTAGGCAGAGGTATGTTATCCACGCATTTGCCCACGCCCAATGCCCACTCCATAGCGTGGACGACCGTGACATTGATAGCATCCATATACTAATTTGTTTACCAGTGTATATCTAACAGTATGTTATTTTATAACTGTACCTGAACATGCTTTTAATCTACTATTATAAAGAGGGAACCTAAGGGGAACTTACATAGGTAGAAATTTTTTTTTTTTATATTTTCTTATCAAAGAATTCTTAAACAATACATGTTAAGACCCTGCCACTTTTTATTTCTGCTAAAATTATCAGATGAGAAGTAATCGTTCTGAATCACTATTTGAAATTATTGAAAATTTATTCCTATTTATATCTTGAAACTATATTGTACATGCATACATGCATAAACTATAAAACAGCAAAACTAACCAGCAGCTTAAGATCTGTACTATTATTTGTCTGTTTGTCTTTTTATTTTTGGCCATGGCGTTGTCAGTTTGTTTTCGATCTATGAGTTTGACTGTCCCTCTGGTATCTTTCGTCCCTTTTTTAAGAACTGCAAAATTGCTAATATGACTGAAACCATCATCAAGGTTCTTCTTTGAAAACGTTATATCTTACTGCAACCTTACTTGGAATTAGGGTCATATTGAATGAGAGGAAGATTCCTATCGATCAAGAGGTGACCATCTCATGTAGTAAATTATAAAAATAAACTGAAATTTGTGCAGCTAAATCAAATACTACATATAGGGGATTGCAACCTTAATTGGATATCTGGTCACATATTATGAGAGGAAGATCTCTATTTGAGGTCAATATCTCAAAGGTCAAGGTCAAAGTTACTAAACATATAGAAAAAATTGTTTCCAACCTAAGTCAAATACTGTATAGGATTGCAACCTTAATTGAATGGGTGGTTACATATAATTAGAGAAAAATTCCTATTGATTTTTTTGTCACAATGTCTGAAGGTCAAGGTGAGTGTTCCTAAAAAAATACCACAATTTGTGCAAAATACTTATAACGGGGGTATCATTATTGAGCAATACCTCACAGGTCATATTGTACATTTATTGTACCGGTAGTTAATTTTAACTGTTGGTTTATTAATCTTAACCTCTTGGGTTGGGTAGGGACATCAATCTGCTGCCTTGTGTAGTTAGAGTGCCACGCTCTTTGTATTGGAATGATACCTTGCAGAAACTTTTAGAGGGGTCAGTTGGTAACCAGCTGGCAAACATTGTGCCCCTATCCAACATTCCAGCAGTCTTAAGGTTTTTCTCTTCTCTCTGTCCAACCCACTTTGCTGGACCTATTTTTTCTTCTCCAGAATATGCAAGAAATGTTTGCCATCGATAATCAGCCCAAAACATGTAAGATAATGTCTTGCCATATCATATGTAAAGTGTGGCAAATTGCATTAAAAATCTTGTGTGTTTGGATTGTAAAATGTTTATGCATCAGTGATTTTTGTTACAGCATATACCAAATTATGCATCGAATAAATTAACCTGTTCCCGAATACTCCTTGTGAGCAAAGGAAAGATCAGTGTCATTTTTCAGATCCAAACTATTATAAACTTGTCTATATGATAGTATATAAATACATCTTTTTAGAAATCATGCAGTTTTCTGTTTTGAGGTCTTATGGCAAATAATGGCATAAGAGCAAATTCACATTATATATTGATGAATGAAGTAAAAATAATACTCAGATAGTGCAGTAGAGCATGTTGAGGCAGAAGTTAGATTTGACAAAGGATCTAAAATCTTGTACTAGTTCAAAAAGGGGAACATTTGCACACATGTGTATTGCTTAGTAAACTGGAAATGCCTTGTCCGTAACCTTTCGCACATGTGGGTGATTGTGGAAGGCACCCTGTGGGACTGGGTTTTAAATCAGTTACATTTACCCTAATTACCACATTGTAGATTTACTTACATGTAACATTAGCAAGGGTGATTGTAATTAAATCACCTGGTATGTTTACAACATTGTATAAAAAATCCCAGAGTCAGGTAGTTGAATAGTTAGAACAAAATTAAACCTTTGCTTTAGCAAAAATAATGTCATAAATATGTTTTGCTTTTCTTCTTACAGCTGTAAATGGAGCCTGTAACAGACATGCAATATCAGAATGTTTTAATGACATGGGTAGTGGTGAAAATATGCAGGCACAATGTGCGTAAGTATCTATCATCAATAATAAACTCAAAGATTTGTGATGTTTGTTTTTGAGAAAAAGAGTAACTCAGAAATTTTTGACAAATGATAATAAAGTACATATGTAAAGGGGATTGGTTCAGAACTCTGTAAACATGAATATTTGTTCTTTGTTCTTTGGTCTTTAATAATGGATAGTTGTCTCATTGGCATTTACGCCACATCTCCTTATTAGCACACCTGCAACAAAGGGTCCAGTGAGTTTTTCTCATCACTTGTCGTCCATCATCGTCTGTTAACTTTTACAAAATCTTCTCCTCTGAAACGACTTGGCCAAATTAAACCAAACTTGGCCACAATCATCATTGGGGTATAAAGTCTACAAAATCTGTCTAATGAGCCTGCCTACCAACCAAGATGGCCGACCTGGCTAAAAATAGAACATAGAGGTAAAATGCAAATTTTGTCTATTATTTTGAAAACCCCTATAATAGAGAAAGTCTGACAGGGGCAGAATTGTAAGGATTGATTGTTATTTAAGGATTTTAGGTGAAAACTGTCACACAAATTTTTATAGGAGTTATTGCCCTTAAATGATGATAATTACCATTTAAAAAAAATGTTTGCCTATTATCTTAAAAATTATAATAGATAAAGCAAAAATGATCAGCAAGACAAGATCTTCAAATAAGTCAACATGACCTGAATCATCAGCCAACTCCTTATTAGAGTTATTGCCCTTTAATGACGACTTTTACCATTTTTTTGCATTATTGCTTAACATCTTAAAAACTAATATAGATAGAGAGAATCTAATTAAGCAAAAATAATCACAGGATCTACAAATAGGCCACCATAGCCTAAATCTTCAGTTGACTCCTTATTAGAGTTATTTCCCTTAATGATAATTTTTCCCAATTTTTTCATATGTGTCTAATATCTTAAAAACTATAAAAGATAGATAGAAACTTTAAAAAGCAAAAATGACCAGCAAAACGAGATTTACAAATAACTCAATATAACCGAAATCGTTAGTCCTTATTGAAGTTATTGCCCTTTATTGACGATTTTCCCCATTTTTTCCAATTTTTACCTATTATCTTGAAAAACCTAATAGATAGATAGAAACTTTAGAAAGGAAAAATGATCAGCAAGACAAGATCTATAAATGTGCTATAATGGCTGAAATCTTCAGTGGACTAGTAATTTGAGTTATTGCCCTTAAATGATAATTTTCAACATTTATATACATTTTTTGCCTTTTATCTTGAAAACTATGATAGATAAATAGAAACTTTAAAAAGGAAAAATTATCAGTAGGATAAGATCTACAAATATGTCAACATGATTGAAATTGGCAGTTAACTCTTAATAGAGTTATTACCCTTTTATGATGATTTTTACTCAAAAGTGGCCATTGTTAAAGATGCAGGTGAGCTACACAGGCTATTTAGAGCCTTTAGTTTTAGTTTTGCCTTTTGTCTTAAAACTATAAAAGATAGATAGACACTTTAAATAGCAAAAAAGAGGGACGAAAGATACCAGAGGGACAGTCAAGTCAGCAAGATAAGATATACATATAAGCAAGTTTTGTCTAAATCCTTTATAAGAGTGATTGCCCTTATATTACGATTTTTCCCTTTTTTGTGCTTTGGAGAAAAATTAAAGACAATAGTGAGAAACTGTTTTCAAAACAATGATTACATGTAGCAATACAAGATCAATCAATGAGAGATTTTTGTCATGAATTCTTTTCTATTCTTCAATGTTGGAGAGTGACTATTGTTGAAGATGCACATAGACCTAGGTGAATGACATGCCTGTTTAACCATCCAACGGAATAAGTTGTGCAACTGCATACCTGTCAAAGAAAATCTCAGGTCATAACGCGTACAAACGTTTTTCAGCTGAATTTAAGTATTATGGGGACATTTTTTTATATTTCAAATCTAACAGTTTCCAAAACATGTTCACATGGTTAAGTATTAACTGAATTTAAAACTTTAGTTTTATTTTTATTTTTTCATTGCATTTATAAGCCATTGAAATATTAACGTATCATAATATATCAATTCAACCATACCCTCCTTATTGTTTCATTCATAGTAATTAAATCAATCCACAAGCCACATGTCTCTTAGTAAATTCAGGCTATAAAGCATCAATATACAGCTTTGTTTTCATTAGGGGACATTGATGTGATTTTTAGAAACTATAATTTTAATATGTAAAATCATTTAAAGGGCATTAGTTATGAGATATAAAGAAAATAAAGATATGATTTTTTTTGGTTCAATCATTAATGAAAGTGAAATAGTGAAATTATAATTCACTTTTAGCAGCCAGTTTGGTTCAATTTTGTCAAAATAAGCTAAGAAACATCGCTGATGAATTATTCATTTGCAAGGAAATAATTAGACCTCATTTGATCCGTATTCATGTGACCTGCAATTTAACCCCTTAGCTAGAGATGGGTTACGCATGAACTAGGCTTGTTCAACTATTAAAAGGAAAAGAATGTCAACACTGGAAGTGACAGAAGGGTAAACCATTTGGTTGACTGATTCGATCCACAAAAACTCTTTCATATACAGGTAAAAACGATGATGAATATATTTGTTTAACCTATAATATGAAATCAAACAGACCTAGAAAAATCCAATTGCACGAGTTTGCTATCTTTTTATACCACCGCAAAATTTTTGCGGTCGTATATTGGTATCACGTCGTTGTCGTTGTCGTCGTCGTCAGAAGAAGAAGAAGACATTTGGTTTCCGAACAATAACTTAAGTATAAGTGAATAGAAATCTATGAAATTTAAACACAAGGTTTATGACCACAAAAGGAAGGTTGGGATTGATTTTGGGAGTTTTGGTCCCAACATTTTAGAAAGTAGGGGCCAAAAAAGGGCCCAAATAAGCATTTTTCTAGTTTCCAGACAATAACTTGTGGAATGGTGTATGGATCTCTCTGAAATTATACCACAAGTTTCCATACCACAAAAGGATGGTGAGAATTTGCTTTGGGGGGTTATGGCTTAAACAGTTAAGGAATAAGGGGCAAAAAAGGGGGGAAAACAAGGGTTTCCAGGTTAATGGACAATTACTTAAGTACAAAACATAATTTAAAAGCAGTATAAGGGAGGTAATTCAAACACATTTGAATTACCTCACTTACACTGCTTTTAAATTATGTATATTGGAAATTTGCCAATAACTTTAGTATTAATAAACTCCATTGGAAATTTGCCAATAACTTAAGTACAATAAACTCCATTGGAAATTTGCCAATAACTTTAGTATAATTAGAAATTTGCCAATAACTTTAGTATAAGTAAATATAAATCTACGAAATTTAAACACAAGGTTTGAAACCACAGAAGGAAGGTTTGGGGGTTATGGTCCCTATGGTTTAGGAATTAGGTGTCAAAAAGGGGCCCAAATAAGCATTTTTCTAGTGTCCAGACAATAACTTGTGGAACAGTTCAAGAATTGTCTGAAATTGTACCACAAGTTTCCTCACCAAAAAAGGATGTTTAGGATTGGTTTTGGGGGGTTATGGCTCAATCTGTTTAGGAATTAGGGACAAAAAAGGGGAAAAACAAGGGTTTCCTGGTTAATGGACAATTATTTTAACTTTGTTTCTTTATGTTGGTATTTTTTGCTATTTGTTTGCTAGTTCTAGTATGAAATATATTTTAGCTGTTTCTAGAAACATCAAATACTGTGATTTAAATACATATATTATTATAATAGTGTATATCAAAGGGTTCAGTGGTAATACATTTTTATACTCATAATTGATTATTCTTTGTTTGGGTTTTTTTTTGCATTAGAGTTACCTCCCTTACAATGGTTCCATACTACAAAGGAAAGACTGGTATTGTGTTTGATGGTTAATGCTCCAAGGGGGATTCGAAAAGTTTGGGGGGTTCCAATTTTTTTTAAGGGGTTCATATTATTTTCCTCAAATTTTTCGAATTTCTAGTTTTTGAAAAGTTTCAAGAAGAAATCTTCAATTGCACAGTATTGCACATTAGATTTGGAAGATCTTTGACCACATTTATTTTGTGTCAGAAACCTATATTATGTCAAAAATTTGATCACAAACCAAATTCTCATGGTATCAAGCTTGAATATTGTGTCCAAATTTGCCCCAACTGTTCAGGGTTCGACCTCTGCGGTCGTATCAGGCTGCGCTCAGCAAGGCATTTTATTATATCTATATTTATGTTTATATCGGGTTAAATGACCGTCGGCAGCGTTCGGAGGTCACCTCGATGGTTAATTAGATGGCATCTAGACTAAATTACACACGAAATGCTGATACATATTATCGTGTTCATGCATAAATTGTTTATTTTAGACTTTTTAAAATTTGGATATATGTTTTAGTATGTTATAAGTCGAATATGAGAATTTGAGTCAAATCGGTGAACAGCTAATGCCCCTTTAAAGAAAGTAGAGATGAAAAAGATAATTTTCAAAATTATTTAACTTTTTGATTGTTCTAAGGTAGTAAAATAATAGAAAATAATGATATGTATTTGCATTCAATTTGCCATAGTTTTAATCTTTTGACAAATAAAACATAAATTTAAGGAGTATATTGTGAAAGGTGGCAAAAAAAGGGGGAGTTACTCATTTTTTTTTGTCAAACAACTATGAAATACAAAAAATATTTATGACCTTAAGCTAAGGTAATTGTTGTTAATTAACAGTGTGTTTGACACCAAAGCCGTCAAGTGAAGCCATGCATTAATGGGTCACTTAATTTGACAGTTAACACAGCTAGTTGAACTTCCTGTCAAGGAAGAATTAAGAATTTGCCAGTATTTCAAAGGAAAATCACTTATGAAATCATGCAGTCTTAAGGTTCAAGAATCAGGAGAAAACCTGTCATTTTCCGAATTCACAGGTTATTTAACGACCTAGCGGGTATTTAAAAAATCCAGGGTGAGAGGTGAAATTTACGGGTATCACCCGCAGGATACGGGTCAGTTGACAGGTATGCAACTGCTATAAATAAAAACAGCTGCTTCTTGTGAAACTTCTTATTTTCATCTAAAACTTTTATTCATAGAGCATATGAGAACATCAAGAAATGTATAGCACCACATAAAGATGCTTGCGCTGGGGATCCAACACTGGCTGCCATAGCACCTTTAGAGCAGATGTGCAGTGGTGGTTACCTACCAAACATTCCAAATGGTAATTATTCATTCAGTGCTATTGTGATTATTTATATTTATATTTAAAAGATTCATAATTATAAGATTTTTTAATAATTGATTTATCATCTGGTTTTTATACGCCGGTCAAAGACTGGATCTTTTATAGTATACCTGTAGGCCGTCCATCCATAAACACTTTGTATGATAACTCAAATTGGCTTTATTCAGTTCTCATATAAAGTTAACATATTAGAATTAACAACTCCCTTTAGATTTTTTTTTATTTTTGGCTTTGTCATTCTAGAGTTTCAGAACTGTTACCCTTAGATTTAAGGCAATTTTAATACAACCGCAAAATATTTGCAGCCATATAATGGTATGGGGTTGTCGTCATCGTTGTTGTCAACTGAAGACATTTGGTTTCCAGACAATAACTTGAGTATAAGTGAATGGATCTCTATGAAATTGTACCACAAGGTTCCATACCACAAAAGCAATGTTGGGATAATTTTGGGGTTATTGTCCTAACTGTTAAGGAATTAGGGGCTCAAAGGCCATAAGGAAGCACTTGTCTTGTTTCAGGACAATAACTCCCCAGAAATGTCTGATAGCATCACATTTGGCGTAAAAAAAATAAAGTTTTTTTTTCAATGTCATTTGTTGCGTCGTGACGATGCTGTCTTTCCTTTTTAGTCCCCTACCGACGAAGTCGAAGGGGACTTTAGGTTTGCATTCCATCCGTCTGTCTGTCTGTCCATCTGTCAGTCCGGCAAATCAGTTTTCCAGACTTTTTTTCTTCGTGCTTGAAGATATTGATTTGATATTTGGTTTATTGATTTATCATGACAAGTTACAGGTCAAGTTCAATTTTCACGATTTGAGCTTTTCTCTTTGTTCAGATAAAGCCCTTTCCCTAGAATTAAATTTTTGATGAAATACTTATTAATTAGTAGATTTCTGTTCAAAGGGAAAAGTTAGAATTTCGTTCCATTACAATGAATTTGTAACCGGTAGGGGACTATGTATTGCCATGCATTACTCACAGAATGCTCGTTATAATGTACATTTTAATTCAAGTATATGTTATCTGTGTGCAAATGTGTCTATATAGATATAAGAAAATGTGGTATGAGTGCCAATGAGACAACTCTCCATCCAAGTCAAAATTTATAAAAGTAAACCATTATAAGTCACAGTACGGTCTTCAACACGGAGCCTTGGCTCACACCGAACAGTAAGCTATAAAGGGCCCGAAAAATTACTAGTGTAAAACCATTCAAACGGGAAAACCAACGGTCTAATCTATATAAAAAACGAGAAACGAGAACCACTTATGAACCATATCAACAAACGACAACTACTGAACATCAGATTCCTGACTTAGGACAGGTGCAAACAAATGCAGCGGGTTTAAACGTTTTAATGGTACCAAACCTTCACCCTTTTTCTGAAACAATAGTGTAACATCACAACATAGAAAGACACACTATAAAATATCAACTGAAATAGCTTAACTCAATCAAAGGACATATTAACACCAGTGAACATACACTGAACAAATAAATTTGACCTATGATACAATGTAAATACAAAATAAATAAACTAAGGGAAGAATAATAAAAGTAACATGTTATATCGGTATGAAATGTTAAACAATTTAAGAAAAAAACAATATGCTCGAACAAAAATATCAGCCATTTGCAATAACTTTAAACACAGGTAAATGAAAATGATTTTGTTGTTAGGTATACGTGTACAGTTCCAATAGAGAAAGGAAATATTTTTACAAAATAAATAATTTTGATGTTCATAGTACGAAGTGAAAATTTATAGTAATACCAAACACTTATCAAAGCTGGTATATAGACCAGATATAACCCTGAATAACATTAGATAACAAAAAAGCATTACAATTAGTATCAACAGGTCAAATAAATAAGAAAGTACGATTTGAGAGTACTCGCAGTTACTGACAGCTAGTTAAAAGCCAAAACAATTAATAATAAAAAAAATCATGCATCAGAGACTAAAATCAACTAAAACACATCCCAGGGATTTAGTATTTTAACGTCATGGACAGTCAAAGAAGACATGACTAGTGCAATGCCAAAAATAAATGTATCGACAGACAGTAGGATAGTTAGGAGTTTAACCTCTTTATAGATCAAAATGAACGTGGGTGTGTCTTTATACATCCCGTTTGAAAAGAATACAAATTTAGTTATGTTCTATTTTGCTGATGACAAAATCGATATTAGTGCCAATGTAAACTATATTCAAAGATCTAATTACAACATTGGTAAGATAACCTTTACTAATAAGTTTGTTTAAAGGTTCGATGAGTTTTCACGGATCACATAGTGATTTCCGCGCTTTAAGTACAATTTTACCGTAAAATTTAGGATGTGAAATACTGTTTTTAATCAGTTTTCTACAGGTACAGCCAAATTTACTAATCAAATCTTTGTATCTATGAAAGAACTTAGGAAAAGTTTTACGTAATTTATGGTAACGAAATCCCTGACTTAATAATTTACCAGTGATGCATTGATTACGTTCGTTAAAATCTATGACATCACTACACACACGGGCATAACGAACGAGTTGGGATATATAAGCACCGTATGATGGAGCCAAAGGAACATCGCCGTCTAAAAAAGGAAAATTAACAATAGGGAATGAAAAATCGTCTCTTTTGTCGTAAATTTTCGTATGAAGTTTTCCTTTAGAGATTGAAATGTCCAAATCCAGAAAAGGACAACTACTGCTGTTTATGTTAGATATAGTTAAAGTAAGTTCTATTGGGTAAATTTCGGTAGTATATTTAGAGAACTCTGGATTATTTAACGAAAAAATATCATCTAGATAACGGAAGGTATTGTTGAATGTATCAACCAAATGTAACAATGACGTGTCTTTACTGAGTTTTGTCAGAATTTTTAACACTGCAAAAATAATTAATACCATTATTTTCATAAGCTTTATTACAAAAGTTAATAACAAGTTCTTTGATAGTAGTAAGGGAGGTAGTTAGAAGCACTGATAGATTGGTAGTAGAACACTTACTAGATGCGGAGATGAAACGGAATTTAAATGTTTTTTTGTGCAATTTAGGTAACCAGTACATAGTAGGGACTTTCAAATGTTCGGAAGAGGCTTTAAGCTGGGTAGTGGCAGTGATATGCTTGTTTACAATTTGACTCTCTGTGGAGCGTACGGACCTGAATGTAGATGAATTTGTAATTTCGTTTTGGAGAACTTCCGTGTAGTATATGCGTCACACCAACACAACATTATTTGCTGCTTTGTCTGCCGGTACGAACACAAACCGCTTTGCGAATACTTGGAGTTTATTTTTTATTCTGGAAATGGGAATATCATGGACCCTATTACTAATTTCAGAATTTTTTTCAAAATGAGATATACGAATATTAACAGTATTCATAATTTTATTCAAATAACTGTCTGGAGATTTTTTATCAGATTTTTCACGTTTACACCAATTTTTACAGTAGACAGACAGAGCTTCTTTAATGACCTGACGACACTGTTTCCAATCTATTTTAGATAGAGGACGATATTTCGGTCCTTTCTTAAGAAAAGTTATGACCTCACGGTCTTCGACGATGTTGAGGTCTCCTGTAAGGACATGACCATAGGGAACATATCTAAAACTAGATGTTTCACAATCTCAAGTGGAAGGAACATTATTTTCTATATTGACGTCTGATGTAACTGACGTATAATTAAAAATCAAACTTCTGCTGGGTTTTTTTATAAGAATGGTTTTTTTCAGGAACAGAAAATAAATTCTTCCTAGCATAGAATTACCCCTTATGATTTAGATGAAATAAAAATGATAAACCGTAAAAATGCAAAACACTTAGTATTTTACAGTACTGTTACGTATTGTTGGCATAAGTTAGCCTTTGTATACTCAAAATATATTCCAAAATAGGAACATAATTATATCCTTTAATAAATTTTAAAGTGTACCATCGGTAACATTTAAAATTTTCTTAGTTTTTAAAATAAAATTTCCCCTTCTAAATTAAACAATTTACACTTTAACATATGATGTTCTACATTTTCAATCTGATTGCAGTTTGTGCAAAGATTAGAAGCAAGTACTCCAATTCTATTTAGATGGTTATTGAGTCCACTTTATCTTGTTCTCAGTTTAAAAAGTAATCTTTCTTTGTCCCTTGATAATTTGGGAATAGTAATTTGAAAATTAACTTTATAAATGATTTTAATTAATCTCGATCTTTGTTTGCTTCCCAATCTTTTTGCCATGAATTTTTTAGAAATTTTTTGCAAACAGTTTTAATGTCCTCTTTATAATGAGATAAAAAAATCTATTCAGGTATCAAAATTTAGTGCCATTTTGGCTTGTAAGTCTGATATGCTTATTTTAAGAGAGGTCAAAATTAAATGAATATCAGATAAAATTTGATTCTTTACTTTAAAAATAGATGTTTTGATGGCTTGAAGAGACGACAAAGAATCTACAAAAATGACTGTTTTAATAGGTCTAAAATCTTCTAGCCATTATAGATTTGAATAAATTGCCATTAATTCTGACATAAATAAGACTGTGCTGTGCTTGGGAAGAAGGATGCAGTATGTTTAAAATTTCGCTAGTCGGCATCACTTTAATGGTCTTTACTAGTTGAATGCCGGAATTGTGCAACTTTGCAAACAATGCTTCAGAAATGTCATTTGCGGAAGGACTGTTTTGAAGATTATTGTTTGAAAACTCACGGCCTCTTTCATGTTGGCAAAGCAGTAGTCTCCACCTCAAAAACATCCCCAATTGTTGCCTCACTCAAATTTCTGGGAGCAGCTTTCCTTTTTAACCGGATTTTCGAAAGAAAAATCGGTTATTGATTTGGGGATGTACGGAGGGCGGGCAGCTCCCAAACAGTGTCCGTTCATTAACATGAAAACGCTTTGACGAAATTTTTTCAAATTTAGATATTTGGTTTGCTGTGACTAAATAAAGGTCAAGTTCAATTTTCACGATTTTAGCTTTTCTCGTTGTTGAGTTATAGCCCTTTCCCAAGAATTCAATTTTTGATAAAATTCTTATTAATTACTCTATTCTGTTCAAAGGGAAATAACTCATTTTTTTAAAAGATTTTTAAAAGACATTGTATGAATAATAAATGAAATTTTTTTTTTTTTTATTTTTTTCTTTGGTAAATTCTTGGGGTTCTTCGAAATGCTGAATCTAACAATGTACATAGATTTTGGATATTGGACCATAATAGATAAATGTCCAATTTCAAATTTGTCAGGTCTTTGATCACATTCATTTTGTGTCACAAACCTATGCTGTGTCAAATTTTCAATCACAATCCAAATTCAGAGCTGTTTTAAGCTTAAATGTAGTGTCCATACTTGCTCAACTGTTCAGGGTTCGACCTCTGCAGGAAATCCGGTTTACTGTCACTCTGACAGCCTCTTGTTGTTCTTTGCTTTGGCATTTTGAAATAATAAAAAAATATACTATTTTAATTGTTAGTGATGAGATGTGAGTTTTGAACAAGTGGACAATAATACAAGTCATATGGCAGTTGTTTTGAAACATTACAAACACAGTAATATGCAACAAAAGAATTTATCAATTCCTATGGTTAAAGGAAATATATATTGTCCTGTTACTGATCTATTGGAGTATTTACAGTTGTCAAATCATAAACTAGGTCCTCTATTTAGATTGCAGTGTGGAAAGCCTGTTTCATCATTTTACTTTTATTCCTCTTTGAAAAGTTTATTATTATTTGCTGGTTTGGATGCAAATCTTTATAAGGGTCACAGTTTTAGAATTGGGGCTGCAACTTCAGCAGCTGCTAGAGAAGTGCCCTTATCTATGATTCAAAACATGGATAGATGGAGGTCTAATGCCTTTCAGCTTTACATAAGACTTGATAATTTTTGTATGTAGGTAAATAACCTGCTGCCCTCTTGGTAGAAAATATTTGTTATTATTTTGTCAAACATTCTAGACTACCTAACCAGTATAGGCCAACATGTTTTGCTCTACAGTTGTTCGTACATTTAAGTATATTTGGGTAGAGGTCAACATGGCTTTCCATACATTTGTTTAGGAGCCAGCTGAAGGACGCCTCCGGGTGTGGGAGTTTCTCGCTGCATTGAAGCTAGAGGTATAGGGGGAGGGTTGAGATCTCTGGCCTTTGTTAGTCTTGTATCATTTTTAATTTTAGTTTCTTGTGTATAATTTGAAGTTTAGTATGACGTCCATTATCACTGAACTAGTATACATATTTGTTAAGTGGCCAGCTGAAGGACGCCTCCGGGTGCGGGAGTTTCTCGCTGCATTGAAGACCCATTGGTGGCCTTCGGCTGTTGTCTGCTCTATGGTCGGGTTGTTGTCTCTTTGACACATTCCCCATTTCCATTCTCAATTTTATTTGTTTTTCATTCAACATGTCCGATACATTGTGTTTTGTGAAATACTGTTTTTGTTTTTATATTTTAGAATTTCTAAGTGAACATTAAAATGACTATTATTAACTATGTGTTTTTATTTTTACATGTATTTTCGTCTATATAAACCGTAGAGGTCAACATGGCTTGCTCTGCATTTTGATTGTCAGAAATGGTATTTTCCCAATCTTTATATACCTAACAATGATGAACAAGTCATATTTGTCTTCCCCATTTCTGGACAGGGAGTCCTCAGGTTGGGATCCCCTATAGGGATTTATGGCATTTTCTAAACCCCACCTTTGCTTAATGTCATTGTCATTTATTTGCTACTATTAATATTGTTAATATGTCATTCTCAATAAATGATAAATTTTAGAGAAATGACATTTTGCTCAACTTGGGTTGTATTTTAACAGCAAACTTAGCTCAGCCTCCCTATAGGTTTGTTGAACGTCATCTTGAGGAACCTTGGCTGTCAAAAATATGATTTGGTAGTTTAAAACCTTTTTTAATCTTTAATTCTGGAACAACATATACACAGCTTGTGTTACCCTGTGAATCTCTAGACCCATCTGTAAACATTTTATTGTTCATTTAGATTTTGGTCCCTGTTTGAGCTCACCTGGCCTAAAAGGCCAAGTGAGATTTTCTCATCATGTGACGTCTGTCGTTCATTGTTGTAGTCCTTCGTCATCGTCGTTAACTTTTACAAAAATCTTCTCCTCTGAAATGACGGGGCCAAATTTAACCAAACTTAGCCACAATCATCATTAGGGTATCTAGTTAAAAAAATTGTCTGAAGATCCCGCCTTCCAACAAAGATGGCCGGCATGGCTAAAAATAAAACATAGGGGTAAAATGCAAGTTTTGCCTGTTATTTTGTAAACCGCTTTATATAGAGATATTCTAACATGTGCAAATATCTTCAGGATGTTGAGCTCTACTTTTTTTTTTCTATTTAAGTCAAAACTGTCAAACGACTTATTATAGGATTTATTGACCACAAATGACGAATTTTATCATTTTTTAACATTTTTGCCTTTTAGTTTGAAAACTATAATAGATAGAGAGAAACTTTAAAATGCAAAAATGATCAGCAAGACAAGACTTACAAATAAGTTATACATAAAAAATTTCATCAAAAATTGAATTATTGGGGCTTAGGTTATTTAATATGCTGAATCAAATCAGGTATTTAGATTTTTAGTTTTGAGACCTGCTTTCAAATTGTTCCACATTAAGGTCCAAAGGGTCCAAAATTAAACTTCGTTTGATTTCAACAAAAATTGAAATATGGAGTTCTTTGATATGCTTGATCTAATGGTGTATTTAAATTTTGGATTTTGGGTGCCATTTTGAAATTGGTCCATATTGAGGTCCAAAGGGTCCACAATCAAATTTTGTTTGATTTCATCAACATTTAAACATTGAATTCTTAGGGTTCTTTGCTATGCTGAATTTAACATGTATTTAGATTTTGGATATTGGACCATGATAGGTTAAAAGTCCAATTTCAAATTTTCCAATACGAAAACATGGGCTAAGCTTTTTCAGCTTATTTTATTTGGAGACAAGCTCTCACATGTACAATTCTTACTAGATTTTTAGGAAAAACTATATAAATTGAAAAAAAGAAAAGAAAGTTGTTTACTTACCCTTCACTTTCACAGATTTCCACATCATTTTCTATCCTCTCTGGTACCTCCATTGTCTCAAATGCAAATGATGAAATGAATCCTGCAGCACTATTTAAAGGCTATGTAATTTGATACCCAAATGCTCTCAAAAAGTTATATTTCATGAGATAAAGAGGAATGAGTACTATATTACATTTTTTGATAACATAGCAAGTTTCAATAATATTACAGTATTTGGTAATATCATAATATCACAATTTTCAGTAATATAAAAACTGTATTACAGTTTTCTGTAATATTTCAGATTTGTGTAATATTACATTTTAATGTAATATTACTGTTTTCAGTAATTGCTTGGACTGTTATATCAGAGGTTCATATCAGCAATGGCTCGCATAAACTTAAAAGACAGTGTTGATTAACTATTTTTAAAGGAGTTATGCCCCTTTGATATATAAATTTAATTTGTCTGCAAAATTGCACTGTTAGTGCTCTCAAGCCTGCATGTCTTCAGGATTGGTAAGAAATTTATATTGCAGGGTTTATATTAGTTATGTTTTGTTGGAGTTTGAAAATCAGTGCTGATCAATTATTTTTGTGTCCCTTTAAAAAATTTTATGGGAAATTGCATTTTAAGCCCTCTTAAGGCTTCATTTCTTGTCTGAATTTTAGATATTTGAAATCAAAGGTTTATATCAGTTATTCTTGGGTGAGTTTGAAAATTAGTGCTAATCAACTTCCTTTAATGCAATTATATCCCTTTAAAATGTAGTTTACAATGCATATTCCATTTTAATCACTCTGATGCCTATATTTGTTGTTGGATTTTTATGAAATATATATTTTAGATTTATATCAGTAAAGCATTGGAAGTGTTCAATAATCAGTGTTGATCAAGTATTTTTATTATTTGTTATGCCCCTTGGAAATAGAAATTATATGGAAAGTAATATTGTTAGCCATCTCCTGCCTACATTTCTTCTAGGATATTAATAAAAAGGTTTGAAAGATCAAAGGAATATTACTGCCCTCGAACATAAGTGTATTGGCAGGGAATATTAGAATACTGTTCTTTTACTATTCCTTTTTATTATATTAGTTTGTGCAGTTGATGTTTGTGCCATGGGCATGCAGCAATATCAGCCAAAGAGTTCAGGTGAACCTATTGAAGTAACACCAGAGCTTTGTGCGTGAGTAATTATAAACAGCTTGTTGTTCAATACGATACAAAGTGTATGTTTTTAAAAAATGTAAAGAATCCAGTCTGTAAGAATTGTAAAATGTAAAATGTTTAAAATGTAGCTTGAACTAAGTCTAATATAAAGAATCTAGTTTGTCGAGGTTCTGGATTAAAAAGTTTCAGCTAACTTTTGAGTATACTCTAGATGCTAATGATGATATTGTATGATGTGTCTCACAATGAGCAGGAGTACATATAGGTCAACATGACCTAAATGTCATGGTTGAGATAACATGATGAAAAAGATACCATAAAATATAGGATAACCTAATCGTGCATGTCGTTAGAACATGAAAGTATTATATTGACAGGAACTACAGCGATTTATTAGCACTTACTTATAACCCGGGGAGTGCTGTAGAAAAGATCTAGAAACTGTATAATTAGTAAGCTATTCGTTAATTTCCATTTGTGACTATCTGCGATGCCACCATCCTAAATTGACCACAGATACTTACCAATCACATGGTTTATCGAGACAGTTTAACATTGGTTGACCTTTAGGCATAAACAACTTATTAAAACAAGTTGACTGATGCATAAAAAATGAAAATCAACCCAGAATTATTTATTCTACAAAGTTTTAACATAGTGAGTGACAGTATCATATTTTTACAGGGGTTACAGCATATGGACTTGAGTGTGTAGGTAAAGGTAGTATCTTTGGTTTGCTTGCTTGCTAGCTGAACCATGAAATCATTATTAGCTATTAAAAGTACTACCTTGCTTAAGGCGGAGTCAATAGTTAAACAGAGAACCAATGAAAAATAGGGACAGTGTATAAACAAAGTGAAACCAGTTTTACAAGTCAGTTTAAAAATAATTTAATCGATTTGTTCAACAAAAAAACTTTCATATACTTATAATATATGTGTATTGTCGCCCGCACAATGAGTTGCAGTAGACATAGAAATACGGGGCATCCGTCCGTCCGTCTGTTTCTCCGTCCGGTCTTGTTAGCACTCCCACATGTACAATTCTAGCCAGATTTTTATAAACTTATATCATAGGTTTATATCAGCAATGTCTCTGACGAGTTCTTAAAATCAGCGCTGATCAATAATTTTTTAAAGAGTTATGCCCTTGGAAATATTAATAATATGGAAAACTGCATTGTTAGTGCTCTCATGTGTACAAATCTTGCCAGATTTTTATGAAACTTATATTGTAGGTTTATATCAGCGATGTCTCTGACGAGTTAAAAATTAATAGCTGATCAATTATTTTTTAAAGAGTTATGCCCCTTAGAAATATTAATTATATGGAAATTTGCATTGTAAGCGTTCTCACATATACAATTTTTGTCAGATTTTAATCAAATTCATATCAATAGTTTATATCAGCAATGTCACAAACAATTTCGAAAATAATTGCGGATCAAATATTTTTAATGAGTTATGCCCCTTGGAAATATTAAATATATCAAAAATTGCTCTTAAGTCTTCAACTCTCTAAGATAATTTTAAAAAGTTTTAAAAATCAAAAAAACATTTTTTTGAGTTATTGACCTTGAACAGATAAAATATGTGTAATGCGGGGGACATTGGAACTCTGTTGTTTTATATATATAATAAGGATATCATTATCTTTGAATTTGTTATAAATGAACAGACGTAATTGATTGAAATGAAAAATTGACAATTCAAACAGACCTAAAACATGCTTGACACTAGATTTTAAATTTAGATCGAAAAACTATTTTTAAACTGACTTGTCAAACTGGTTTCACTCTGTTTATATACTGCCAGTACTTTTGATTGGTTCTCTGCTATTGACTCTGCCTAAAGGAAGGTAGTAACCTAGCTAATTATTATTTCATGGTTCAGCTAGCAAGCAAGCAAACCAAATATACAACCTTTACCTACACACTCAAGTCCATGTGCTGTAACTTGCAAGGTATTATACCCCTTGCGCCTTTGAGTTAGCGAATCTTATTTTGGAAATAAAGAATATAATCTATAGTCTCAGTAGTTCACAAATAAATGACATCTTCTAATTTGAAACAACAGCCAGGTTATTAAATAGCTCTTGATAGAATTTAAACTGACCTACCTAGTTGCAAGAAAATGTGGAATACCCTTGAAGGCTGATGATTTTTTTTGTGTTGAAAGAAATGCAGATGTTATCTTAATTCATTTAACTGGATGAAAATGTTTTTATTTCCTATATAAATAGATTTTCTCTGTCTGCAATTCTAACTTAAATTCTGTATATTGATTTAAGCACAACTCCATTACGTCAGGCTAATAATCTGGGCAAAATAACAGCTGATATCTCCGGTGGCAAATACATTTTTAGTGTATTCTTAGTTATGTTTACAAAATTAAACATTGTGTTTTAAAAATAACAAAGGATTTGAAAGTTGTATTGAACAACATTTTAAAAATAATAACATTAATTTCTAACATACTCACTGTTATTCTGTGTTACTCCAAATTAATTTCCTTTATTGACAGCATATGCTTCTAATACAAGTTGTGACTTGTCAATAATTTTTTACTAATTCTTTCATTAGATTTTCCAGAATTCAGTATTACCAATAACGTAAATGAGACAGATAGTATGTTACTACATGTATCACAATTGTTATAGATTCAAATGCAGTCATGTCCCAGGACGCCAATTGAACAATTAGTATACTATTGATTTTGATGTAAATCATATATCAGTACGTTGGGGATTTAGAAACTTTGACATGATATTCTCTGCATCAGCATTTCCTTCTGTGGGATATGTTTACTTTGATATTCATAGTCTGATTGTTTCCATACCGTATATGTTCCAAGTCAAAGAAAAAATGTTAATCTATAAAATGAAAAATGAGTGATTGCTCGTTGATATAATATCCAATGGCAAATATTTTGTGCATATATTGATTTAGAACAAATAAGTATTGTATCTCAGATAATTTGGTTAAAAGGAAAAGTTGTGCTTATATCAATGAAACAGATACTTCAATTTAATAATAAACAATATTTCTCGTTTTTTATATAGATTAGACCGTTGGTTTTCCCGTTTGAATGGTTTTACACTAGTAATATTTGGGGCCCTTTATAGCTTACTGTTCGATGTGAGCCAAGGCTCCGTGTGGAAGACCGTACTGTGACCTATAATGGCTTACTTTTATAAATTTTGACTTGGATGGAGAGTTGTCTCATTGGCACTCATACCACATCTTCTTATATCTAAATAGACATCTATATGGGACAAATTAAAATCTTAAAAGAAGGGGACCAAATAAATAACGATACTACTACTGCAGGGTTTCTGCAATGCATAGTAATTACTGAAATTACAAAATGTGTGTCTGACAAGTTATACATGTGACAAATGAAGAGATTATATACAGCCCTTGGATGGTGTAAACTTCCCAAAATGTGTAATGGTGTATGGCATATGGTGCAATGGTAGAAGGTGTATAGTGCTATGGTGTATGGTGTAAGGGGAATGGTGTAATAGTGTAACGTGCGATCGGGAATGGTGTGAATGAATGGTGTACGACATTTAAAACTATGCAAAATATTGATAAGAACTGATTTTTAATTTTATACATTAATTTACAATATTGTGATCAAAATTCGTTTTTTTTTAAATAAATAAATAATTTTGTAGTCGCACGCTTTCTTTGAAATTAAATTGCATTATGGTGTAATGTGTAAGGTGTATGGTGCAAAGGTGTAACGTGTATGGTGTAATGGCACAGGGGGTATGGTGTTAGTGGGATGTTTACACCATCCAAGGACTGTAGACAGTAGAATAATTTCTTGATTTCATACTTCTTGTATAATTAAAATTTTCTGGTTTGGTAAAAGCCTTATATAAAAGTCACATTTATTTACAGAAAAGTGCTCTTGAAAGGCTGAAACTGCAATAAGTAAAACAAAAAATTTACTTACCATTAGTCTTCTATTTAATTTCATTACAGGGCAGCGAGTAAATATAAAACTTGTGTAGAACAGGGAAAGTCTCAATGTCCAGACTCCCAAAGTGTTACAAATGCAGAGATGCTGATAGAATCATACGAAACATTGTGTGGTGGTAAGTACAACCAGAGAGCACACTATGTACAAAAGTATTTTATGCCGAATGCAAGGTCCCATCAATTAGGTTCTTTATAGATTGAAATAAGTTTGAAATATATAAAGAGTTATGTAACTGTTCATTAAAAAAAACTGGCATTTTCATTTTACAATATATAAAATTAAACTTCCTTTGATTTTGAAGATATTTGCTTTGTAATTCAATATTTCTTTGGATTTGAAAGTCAATTAGAATTTTTAAGAAATATGTGACCCACATACCTACAAGTTTATTTAGAAATGATAAATAAAAACTAATATTAAGGATACTTTTATAACTGTTTGAGAAAAGCACCTTTAGGTGTATACATGAATGTCTGTCTGCCAGAAGTCATCTGGCCTTGATCCCTTTTCAGGGTTCCATGATCAATGTTAAATTTCACTCTGAGATCAGATTCTAAATTACTATTAGTAATAGGTCCACCAGATTTGGTCTAGAATTATTGTAAGGTGTTCATGTTTGTCTAAGTGTGTTTACCTATAAACCTTGACCTCATTTTTATGGTTCATCTGACAGAAGTCATCTGACCTTGGCCCCTTATTGGAGGTTCAATGATCAATATCAAATATTAGCAAATGGTGCAGTTCCTCCGAGAAAAATAGGTCAATTCATCAATAGAATATTTGAATATTTGTAAGGTGTGCATAGTCTGTCTAACAACTAAAACCTGACCTTTGCCACATTTTCAAAGTTCAACAATCAAGGTGAAATGCATATAAAAATAAGAAGATGTGGTATGATTGCCAATGAGACAACTATCCACCAGAGGTCAAATGATATTAGCAACTTTAGGTCAGGGCTGGTTTTTCAGTTATTAAGTGTAGTAGGTCAATTATTGTGTAGCCTGTCAATTATTGTGTAGCCTAACAGCAAAGCTGGGGCAAGTTAAGGGGATCACTTCTATCTTCTTTGGTTGTCGTAGTGTGAGTTTCCACTTAACACTTTATGTTAATGTGCATTTGTTAAAAACAGCTGTAACACAATTTGGATTCGTACAATACTCTAATTACTACATACAGACAAATGTGTACTTCTTTAATAGACTTTACATTTTGTTATACATTTGTACAATGATATTTAACATTAGTACATGTATTACTTCAATTATGCTGATACATGTATCCTGCAGCAAATTGATAACCTTGTACAGACCAGGAAGATTCAACAGTATAATAGACTTGGAAAGAAGTAAAAAATGAGATTCTGCCAGGTCTCCCATCCCCTTGTTGGTAGGCAGGAATTCATTCACAACCAGAATTCATACTCATCAAGACAAAAAATATACCACTATACGATTACGTGTCTGTGTGATAATTTGTGAACTTTCGAACAATTCAACATTAGAACTGTTGAAACATTCTTTAAGTTTTATTCAGTAATAAATTCTTATTGTATTCCTAAATCGACTTCGTTATACAGCTTGACAGAATTCATCCGAACACTTATAGATTCTTTTACATGGCATATTGTTGTTCATTCGCTGTTAAAGTTTTTAATCTAAATGACTTAACTATTTCTCCTTATATCAGTTTGTTAATCTACAACTCCCTGAAAAAGGCTTAGCAAATTTCAACCAAACTTTCACATATTTTCCTACAGGTTCTAAATTAGTACACCTGGAAAATTAGCTTATGATCAGAATAATTTTTCTTTTTTCCCATACCAAAACATACACTTCTGCTTTAATGATTTGGAGACAGCAGGCTTTCAATGAAAGGCTCACACCTGAGATTTAGTTCATGAAATCAATTTGTGATATACATGACTGTCTGACGGAGGCAACCTAAATTCATTTTTATGGTTCAAAAATTAGTGTTAAGTCCTCTTACTTATGTCAGTTTCTAAGCTCCTATAACTATTAGGTCAACTATATTCAGTAAGGATCAATGTAAAGTATAAATGTCTGTCTGAAAGGGGTTCCTTGGCCTTCACCTTCATTTAATTTGACTCATTAATTAATATAAAGTTTTCTGTATGCATTTGATATGTCTCTTGTATCAAAGAATGTCAGCATTTAATTCCTTTTTATACATGTGCATCTTTTTTCTAAAAACCAGGCAGGGTCTATTATAATAGTGATACATTGTTAATTATAAAGCAGAGATGTTATGTTTTCATTTCATTTAGTAACTGGTACAATTGAAAAATATGAAATCTGTTATTGTAATTCTCTTTGATCTTAGAAAATATTTGTCCTCAAATATTGTAATTTAATGATTCATCTCCCTTTTGTAACACATTCTATATATTAATATATACTATGCATATGAATTTTATTAGCTCACCTGGCTAACAGGGCCAGTTTGAGCTTTTTCCATCACTTGGCGTCTGTCGTCTTTTTCTGTTGTAGTCATCTGTCGTCGTTATGGAATAACTTTTACAAAGATCATCTACTCTGAAACTACCAGGCCAAATTTAACCAAACTTGAAGACGGTCATCATTGGAATATCTAGTTTTAAAAATGTGTCTGATAACCTATAATGTTCTTTTGTTCTTTAACATTTCAGTTTAGACAGGTTTTACAATATTTAAATGGCATTATTTTGAATTTCAGCTGTAAACCTCCTTAAATCATAGTTAACATTTTTAAACCATAGTTAACATCCTTAAACCATATTTAACAGCCTTTAACCATAGTAAATTCCTTAAACCATTGTTATATTTTTCAACCATAGTTAAAATCCTTAAACCATAGTAAACATCCCTAAACCATAAACATCCTTAAACTATAGTAAATCCTTTAATCATAGTTAACATCCTTAAACCATAGTTAACATTCTTAAACCATAGTAAACATCCTTAAACCATAGTTAACATCCTTATTCATAGTAAACATCCTTAAACCATAGTAAACATCCTTAAACCATACACACCCTTAAACCATAAACATCCTTTAACCATAGTTAACATCCTTAAACCATAGTAAACATCTTTAAACAATAGTTAACATCCTTAAACCATACATTCTTAAACCATAGTAAATATCCTTAAACCATAAACATTCTTAAACCATAGTACATCCTAAAACCATAGTTAACATCCTTAAACCATAGTTAACATCCTTAAACCATAGTAAACATCCTTAAACCATAAACATTCTTAAACCATAGTACATCCTCAAACCATAGTTAACATCCTTAAACCATAGTTAACAAGTTAACATCCTTAAACCATAGTAAGCATCCTTAAACCATAGTTAACATCCTTAAACCATAGTTAACATCCTCATAGTTAACATCCTTTAACCATAGTTAACATCCTTAAACAATAAACATCCTTAAACCATAGTACATCCTTAAACCATAGTTAACATCCTTAAATCATAGTAAACATCCTTAGACCATAGTTAACATCCTTAAACCATAGTAAACATCCTTAAACCATAAACAGCCTTAAACCATAGTTCATCCTTAAACCATAGTTAACATCCTTAAACCATAGTAAACAACCTCAACAATGATATGGTAAAACACACAACTTATCAACTACAAGTTAAACTTAAGGATTTTTTAAGTCGGCATTTGCTACTTCATTTAAGGGGTTAGATCTGGGTTAAGGATGGTAACTAAATTAGCAATGCATTTGTTATAGTCACTTCCATAAATGTTCTTTGATCAATCATGTGAAGCAGAATAAACAGTGTTACTAAGTTAGAAGCTTGGAGTATATTTATGAAAATGGTTGACACGAACATATCAGTGATTTTATTAAAGCTATGACTTAGATCTTCAAGCAACTTTCGGTTCCATCAAAATAATAATGTTTCTGGGTAAGGTTACATGTTTTTCTGTGATTGTTGCCTATGTTAGCTATAGGTAGCACCTTTGAAATTTATATCAGTCTATTTCTGTACAAAGTAGGGTTTATCATATGACTTTGATTGTTAGTCCTAAGTAAGCATGTAATATTTTCCTGGAATAGGATCCCAGTTACAGGATACCAGTCCAGTACCCACTAATGAAGTCCATTAATAAATCCAAAATCTTTTAAAATGGGATATTGTACCAAGATGAAAATTATGTAAAGATGCTTAAAATTGTAGTATATCTAAAGGGTATTCATTAAACTTTCAACTTCTATTAAATTTTAAGTGATTCTGAAATGTATAGGGTGGATGATTGTCTGAGTAAATGGTCCAAATTTTATTTTCGATTTTAACCAGGAAGTTAATAAAATGACCCTATTAATATTCAAAACAGTATTGCTCTTTTAAATGCTGGTCATGACCCTCTAAGAATTCTCCAAGAAACCATGAGGGGCTACTAGTTTGAGAAAGTAACTGGAATTTTGCAGTCTAATATAGGGAATAAAAATCTGCCCTTCAATTTGGATAAAATTGCATTGAAGTAATGGGGGAAATAATTGGGTCCCCGTTCCACCTTTGAAATTTGTATCAGTCTATTTCTGTACAAAGCAGGGTATATCATATGACTTTAATTGTTAGTCCTAAGTAAGCATGTAATATTTACAGTTGTATGCTAATTTCACATGAAGTTTTGATTTGTTTTGCAGCTTATGAAAAAAAGCTTTCATGCATTAATGCACATTTACAGAACTTTATAACTTTTTATATTTCTGTTAGGATGTACTGCTCCTAAATTGATGAAATGTACTCAGATGCTGGGAGATTTGATGACAGAGGATTTTGAAAGATTTCCTACTCATGAGCAAATTAATACAGTTTGTCCGTAAGTATACATTTCTTACAGATTTCATCTGTAAATTGCCATTTGGTATGGCATTAATGAAGAGGTTTCAGTTTTTTGTTATAACCATATCATTAAAATTATGAATTTGAAGGAGATTGATGGTATACATTAATCATGTAAATGAATAAGCAACCAAACAACACAATAAAATAAATAAAAACAAAAAAGACATCAAGTAGTTACTGTAAAACAGAACTTTTGGCAATGGATTGTTTCGCTAATTTTGCAGTTAATATAGAATTGCAACTATTCATTTTCACAAATTTGATCTTTTAGGCAGAATGATTTCAACAAATGTTTTAATTTCTATTCCGATAATAAAAATATGTTTGTTTGTCCATCTCTGACCCATCATTTTAGATGTAGGTAGGTAGGTAGACAAATTAATTTATTTTATTCTCATATAAAGTAATTTGTAAAAATTTGTCAAGATGGAAGATACTAAATAAAATTGAGAATGGAAATGGGGAATGTGTCAAAGAGACAACAACCCGGCCAAACAGCAGAAAACAGCCGACGGCCACCAATGGGTCTTCAACACAGCGAGAAAATCCTGTCTACAATTTATATGCAAGTCATTTTCAGCTGGTACATTGTATATCACAAAAGAGTGGAAGTTTAATTTACTTGACAAATTTCAGATTTTTTTCTTCAAAATCAGACATGTTCAATTAGTGTTTTCTTAGAAAAAAATGCTTATGGGTTGGGAACGCCAGATAAAATCAGGTGTACAACCAAGTATATGCAAAGAAAGCAAAATCCATTCCAAAAAAATGTATCAATCTGTGAACATTGCATTGAACTGAGGAACTGTGTAAATCTTCTAAATCATGTTTATAGAATGTTTAGCAAGGAGTTTTTTGTCTGTCAGTCAAAAATAATTTATATTTAACATTTGACTTATGGTACATTTTTTTGTAATTGTCAAATTGATACATGTAGGTAGCAGTTTGGAATTGAATGAAACTAACATTAGCGTTAAAATGACCTATGACAATCATTTATGACAATTTATATCAGTATGCATCTCGTAAAAGCAGACATACTGAGCGCAAAGCAGACTGCCAAAATCCTTTAAAATTGCATACAAGTAGGTAAATTTTGTTTTGTTAAAAGCAGACTTTCTAAATTCTGTGAACTGGTTAGGTAAACCCTTCATTCAGGTTATCATCCTTTAGATATATTTCTATCTAAAGTGAGGTATTATTTTCAGGTCAATCAAATACATTAAAAAAAGAACCCAAAGAAAGGATAATTTTCAAGATTAAAATTAATTTTGATAAGTTTCTATTTTCAGGAATACAGAACTTCATAAATGCATTGCTTTGTTTTGTGTAATAAATTAAAAAAAATCGGATGAATTTTGTACAACAATGGGGCATGTGAAATGAAAACTACAAGGCCATGAATTTAGGGATAATAACCACTCAATTAAAGACATACTGGGATTAATTCCCCTCATCAATTCATACAAAATCTTGAAATATTTTATACACAATCATAAAAGTCATCATGGTCATAACAAAACTAAAGTATCTGCTTATATGACTTTTATGTTATTGTGCATGAAAATTGACATCTCTGATCAGTGATTAGGTAAGATAATTGATGCTAACTACAATCTTACAACAAATATTTGGTTTCAAAAGCACTACTTTCAAGAGACTATCTATCCATAGGCACACAGTGATATTGAAATTAATCTTTCAGTATATTCAATGTTGAACATTCCAAATTTTTCAACATGGCCCTCAGACCTAAAGAAAATCAATCAGAAAAACATCATGTTGGACAGCTGTTTGAGTTGTGTTTCAGACACAAGAGTAATGTTTACATTTTATTTCTCAAATATTCTTTGAAAAGACATTCTTTACTGCTCGGTAGTAGGATAAAAAAAATGACTGAAATATTACGAAAGTCCAAACTTGAAAATAATTGGACTGCACTTCCCCTAGGAAATGTGCATTTACACCACTTACCATGTAAATCCCAGGTTAAACAGATGGGAAGAAAACGATAGGTGTGGGGCAGGTTCATTTATAAAACATGAAACCATACACCTTATCGTGCCTTAAAAGAATATGTAAAAAAATACAAACCTTCAATATCCTTGTCCTCATATGTGTTCCAATTTCTCAATGAACAAACTTCATACATACCCTTAAAACTATTTTGTTTTTTGGTTACAAAGGATGGGAGAAAGTAACACAGAGGTTTCAAGTCCCAGATCCAGTACATTTGTGAAACATGTTTACTCGAATTTATAACAACTTAATGTGTCTTCATAAGAGCCAAAGTATTCAACTGTTGGATTTCCCAGCAAAAAGCCCTTGTATAGTATAAGATTTATGAGGCATAAACATCGCAGCTTTATCTCAAAGACAGAAAAAAATGTTTAACCATTAGACCTTTCTTCAACTTCCCTGACAAGTTCGTCATCGATGAAACAATGAACAGATAAAGCCACCTCATGATTAATAATAGAAACTCAAACATTTTTATTTATCTCTTTATTTATTTGTTCATTTTTTTTTACGATGATTATTTCTAAAATCAGTGCATTTTCTTGACTTGATTCGTGTTTTTAGAATTCGCTATATTGGAACACAACAGACTTTTCTTAACATGGCTACCTACAGACACAAAGCTTTCCGAATGACTGAACAATGTATCACTCAGACGTTTGAAAACACAGATGATTAACATATATCCAGGAAAATCATTTCTGTCATTGATCACAATGGTTATTCAAATAGTAGGGTCCATGGCGGACAAAATAGATAAAAAAAAATATTTGTTTAGATATTGCAATAAAATTTTTTCGGGTCAAGCCATTTTTTGGGTAAAGATTGCATCAAATGCAATGAAAAACCTATGGTACTAACTTGATATCTCAATCTTCCAAAGTTTATTACTACCTTTCATAGTTCAAACAAAATAGTGCAGTGAAGTGATCATTCTTTAGATCCTATCCAGTCAATGTCAAGCAATTTATTAATGATGTGTTATACTTAGATATTCAAGTTACATTATGATTTGTATTTGAATTACCATACTTATCAAGAAGAATTTTCTATATTAAAATGAAAATAGGCTCAACTACAAATGTACAATCATGAACAAAGAAGGATAACTCCAACTCAAAATATAACTAAATGCAATTCAATGTTTTATTTTAAATTCACAAAATTGAAAAATATAAGCAATCTTTACCGTTTTGTGCTCACAAGCACTTTGATTCTGGGTCAGTCAGAGATGGGCAAACAAACTTAATATTATTTTAGGCCCTATGACAAACACATTTTATTTAACATTCTTGTTCAAGTTTACTTTTATACTACTTTCACTCTCTATTTATAATTACTCTCAATGGTGACTTTATGATGTGTAAATTATCACTTTCAGTTTTGTACTTAAGCATGTTTTTTCATGCCATTGCTGCACCAGAGGGGGAATTAAGTGTTACCTATGTCCCTCTGTACGTCCGTCCATCTGTCCGTCTGTAGTCCATACGTATGTGTGTCCCGAAATTGGTGTTCTGTTCTCTAACTTTAGTTTGCCTCAACTTTATGCTATGAAACATATACACACTGCTTAGTCCCGCAAACCACAGATCAAGTTTGAAATTAATTGGTGTCACTTTTCCCGTACTAGAGTTATGCCCTTTACAAATGGAAAAATTGCTGAATTGTTCGTTACCGTTCTCTTACTTAAGCTTGCCTTAACCAAATGTTATGAAACTTATACAAAATGCTTATTACCACAAAACTCAGATCAAGTTTGAATTTGGGTGGCGTCACTTTTACCGTTCTTGAGTTATGTCCTTTTATAACGTTATATGCAAGCCAAGGCATCATCTGTGTCCCGTGGACATATTCTCCATTTATTTGGTCTTTCCACTTTTCAGTGGAAAGACCTATTGTTTTTGCTCTGATTATTATTTTTTTTTTCTTCCGCAGTATTACCGGTATTGTTTCACAAGATGTCACTTTGATATTTGGTATATGATATTGAACAGTTTATACTATTTGAAACTGACCCTGTTTAACCGAACACTTTTTCTTGTAGGAGTTATATCCCCAAACACTGTTTTTCTTGTGGCCACATCTCCTTCGTGACTGTAAAAGTAACCGACAAATTTATTTTACCAAATTGCTCGCTATATCTTCAGGATGTTGAGTTTGGTTTTGACCGAAGCGTTCCGGAGACTCCGTATGAGAGTTGTTTCCCCTTATGCATTTGATTTAAGTTATATGCATAAGTAAACCATAAGTGATAGAGACCTAGGGTCTTTGGATTTGAAGTCTTTGGTTCCAAAAAGAAAATAAGGTCAAGGTCAAAGGTCAAGGTCATATTCTAAATTTTTTATTTTGGCTTTTTTTCACTTCTTTTCAAAAACCGTATAAGATATTGACAACATTTTTTTCATTAAATTGTTAGTTGCGACATGTTGTAACACATACATTTTGGTTGAAAGTGTACGCCGACATTTAATGGGAGTTTTCTCCCTTCTTATATTTAATATTACGAGTATGATGATATGACTCATTAACCATATATAATAAAGACCTAGGGTCTTTTGATTTGAGGTCCTGGGTTAATGACCTTGAAATTTAGGTCAAGGTCATAGGTAAATGTGACGTTCTAGTTTTTGACCTTTGCTTTAACTCTTTATGTATACATGATAACGCCATAAGACTTTGTGCATTAGGTTGCAAGCCATATGACCTTGAAAAAGGCAACTGGAAGTGACCTTGTGTAAACCGGAAGAAGCTATTTTTTTTGTACTTATTTAATGTAAAAGTATATAGAACCATATATTTTAGGAATCAGTGTCAAGTAAACTATCAAATAATACAGGAAGTGATATTTTTCAAATCGGAAGTAACAAATTATCTCCCATATTTCAAACAAAAGTGTATAGAAACCATATATTTTTGGAATCAGCGTAGAATAAGCTATCATTTGACACTGAAAATGACATTTTAAACAAGATAGTAAGATTTTCATATCAAAATATATCGTTTCTGGTGGCTGAACAATTGGTTTTGAATTTTGTATTGTTTTTATCCTGATTATGGTGCGCAAGGTACTGAAACATGTAGAGTTCATTAAATTACTGCTGCCATACCCAAAGTTTTGTCATTATAAGAGTCTTTACAATAAATAATCTTAGGGTTAGGGTTAGGGTTAGAATTATGATTAATTGAATAAGACTGAGAAAAAAAAAGACAAAACAGAAGAGTTGACTTCAACATGCATATTTTAAATCAGGCAAATTTAGAAGAATTACCACTTTAAAGGAAAGTACATATAAACATAAGCAAGGAAAACATTTTATTTCTTAAACACTAAATGATTGTGCCTTTGATTTATGCATAATTACATATATTGGTGTAGCTTCACATGAGAATAAAACAGTATGATTAAGTTTACATTAGTACTCATGCAAAAATTATGCATGTTACTTTTTCCATCTAGTCAAATGTGTATTCGAGGTTCAACTTTATTATAAAAAAAAACAGATGTTCTCCCTTGAGGGATCTCTAAATACAGGTTTGGGGGTCTCAGTGGCCCAGTTGTCTAAGTAGTTCAACTACTGTATTACTAGCCTGTCAACACTGAGGTTGTGAGTTCAAATCCTGCATGTACTGGCAGGTGGAGTCAACTCCAATCTTAATTGACACTGATTGTCAGCTTTCCTGCCTGGTTTCCTCACCTTATACAAACTGTCTGCCACGAAATAGCCAATAATGCTGAAAGTGGCATTAAACATCAATCAATCAATAATACAGGTTTGACTGAATAGTGTTATATTCTGCATTTTATTCTATAAACTGTAGATTTTTTTCACAAAGCTGCTTATGTCTTGAAAGCTATTGACTCTTGTTAAACTTAGATTTGAAGTTGTCTGAATATTACCTTTTGAAAATAATAGAGGCATGATATTGTATGGTATTTACTGCTTTACTCTGAATATTATTTAATTACAATGCAATTTATGCATGAAACATTTTATTTATCAACTATTTTAGAAAGCTGACAAGTTTCAAGAATTGTATATCTCCAATCAAAACTAAGTGTGACGCTATGAAATCTTCTCAAGCACAGCAAATTAGCAAGGGTATTGAGGCAGCTTTTAGTTATACTGACTTAATGTGTGGCGCTGATTTTAAAGCAGGTAGATATATAGTTTATGTTAAATACAGTTGTTTCCTCTTAATTGTATACTGGTTACTGGTGTAAATGTTGATATTTTTTGAGATTTTTTATCCCTAAACTTATTATGTGTGGTATAAATTTGTTCATCAGATGATAAGTGTGCCCTCAACACCATTATTGTTGAGTTGTTCAAAGTACTTGAACAAGGGATATATTGTGGGGATTTTCTGTGATCAGGAAATAAGCAAAAACGATCTCTTACTTACATTTCAACATTTAGAGAAGCCGAAATGATGGAAAAAATTATGCAAATATCAGAAAAACACTTTTTTAACAGAAGTAGTTGTATGCATATTTCTAAACAAAAAACCTTCTGAGACAAGTATGAAGGACCCATGATATTGGTACAAACAAGCATAAAAACTAAATTCCTGTAAAAAATGTTGTTTGGATAGTTCTTATCTAATTGCCAATTACTATAATTGCAATGATAGTTGCATTTCCCCCTGCAATTAGATGCAGAAAATTGACTCATTTGACATTCTGACTGGGCCCAATACAATTGAGTCAATTGTATCAATTTAATAACAGAAATCAATTTATTCCATTGACCTAGAGATTGAGAACCATTAACATCTTGAAAAAACAGGGACAAACTCCAGTGCTCTGAAAAGGAATGCAAGTTTCTGCACCAGAAGTGACACACATGTGTTGTTCCTGATAAATGTAAATCTGGTGATATGTCATGTATGTTGTTTTGGAAGATGTTGATTTTGTGATATGTTGTTTTGGACGATGTTTATCTGGTGATATGTTGTTTTGAAAGACATGACAAATGTAAATCTGGTGATATGCTGTTTTGAAAGACATGACAAATGTAAATCTGGTGATATGTTGTTTTGTAAGACAAGACAAATGTATATCTGGTAATATGTTGGTTTGGTAGACAAGACAGATGTAAATCTGGTAATATGTTGAATTGAAAGACATGACAAATATAAATCTGGTGATATGTTATCTCGGAAGACTTATGTAATTCTGATAATATATTGTTTTGGTAGCTGTTAATCTTGTGATATATCGTTTTAAAAGACATGACAAATGATAATCTGGTGATATATTGTTTTTAAAGACATGATAAATGTAAATCTGGTGATTGTTATTTTGGAAGACATAAGTTAACAAATGTAAATCTGGTGATATGGTGTTTTGGAAGATGTAAATCTGCTGATATTCTGTTTTGAAAGACAAGACAAATGTAGACCTGGTGATATGCTGTTTTAAAAGACATGAAAAATTTGAATATGTTGATATGTTGTTTTGTAAGACAAGACAAATGCAAATCTGGTAATCAGTTATTTTTGAAGACATAACAAATGTAAATTCTGATAATGTGTTGTTTTGGAAGACAAGACAAATCTTAATCTGATCTTATGTTGTTTTTGAAGACATGACAAATGTAAATCTGGTAATATTATATTTTTGAAGACCTAACAAATGTAAATCTGATATGTTGTTTTGGGAGACATGACAAATGCAAATCTGGTGATATGTTGTTTTGGAAGATGTTAATCTGGTGATATGCTGTTTTGAAAGACAAGACAAATGTAAACCTGGTGATATGCTGTTTTAAAAGACATGACCAATTTAGATATGGTGATATGTTGTTTTGGAAGACATGACAAATGTAAATCTGGTGATATGCTGTTTTGGAAGACATGACAAATGTATATCTGGTAATATGTTGTTTTGGAAGACAAGACAAATGAAAGGTTTCCATGGACATCATAAAAAAAGTAAAATAAAAATACTTAACTCCAAGGCAAATTCAAAAAGGGGGGAAGTCCATAAAAACTGACATATTCAAACTCTATCAATCACCAGAACAAGTGAAAAACAAATGCAATGTTCCTGACTTAGTACAGGCATTTTCCAAAGAAACATAGATATTACAAGTATTACTGGCATCAGTTATACTTATAAAGCAATGCATTTTGCTTTATGAATAACATTTTATTTGTGATGAATATATTCACTATCCATTTTCAGAATTGATAACTAAAAAGGAATAACAGGAATTCTAAATATACTGTACAGTACAAAAGGCCACATCAACAAAAACATACCTACAAAGAATGACAAAAACATACCTTACAAAGAATGACAAAAACATACCTTACAAAGAATGACAAAAACATACCTACAAAGAATGACAAAAACATACCTACAAAGAATGACAAAAACATACCTACAAAGAATGACAAAAACATACCTTACAAAGAATGACAAAAACATACCTTACAAAGAATGACAAAAACATACCTACAAAGAATGACAAAAACATACTTACAAAGAATGACAAAAACATACCTTACAAAGAATGACAAAAACATACCTACAAAGAATGACAAAAACATACCTTACAAAGAATGACAAAAACATACCTACAAAGAATGACAAAAACATACCTACAAAGAATGACAAAAACATACCTTACAAAGAATGACAAAAACATACCTACAAAATACCTACAAAGAATGACAAAAACATACCTACAAAGAATGACAAAAACATACCTACAAAATACCTACAAAGAATGACAAAAACATACCTACAAAGAATGACAAAAACATACCTTACATAGAATGACAAAAACATACCTACAAAGAATGACAAAAACATACCTTTCAAAGAATGACAAAAACATACCTTACAAAGAATGACAAAAACATACCTACAAAGAATGACAAAAACATACCTACAAAGAATGACAAAAACATACCTACAAAGAATGACAAAAACATACCTTACAAAGAATGACAAAAACATACCTTACAAAGAATGACAAAAACATACCTTACAAAGAATGACAAAAACATACCTTACAAAGAATGACAAAAACATACCTACAAAGAATGACAAAAACATACCTTACAAAGAATGACAAAAACATACCTACAAAGAATGACAAAAACATACCTTACAAAGAATGACAAAAACATACCTACAAAATACCTACAAAGAATGACAAAAACATACCTACAAAGAATGACAAAAACATACCTACAAAGAATGACAAAAACATACCTTACATAGAATGACAAAAACATACCTACAAAGAATGACAAAAACATACCTACAAAGAATGACAAAAACATACCTTACATAGAATGACAAAAACATACCTACAAAGAATGACAAAACATACCTTACAAAGAATGACAAAAACATACCTTACAAAGAATGACAAAAACATACCTACAAAGAATGACAAAAACATACCTACAAAGAATGACAAAAACATACCTACAAAGAATGACAAAAACAATACCTACAAAGAATGACAAAAACAATGATTAATACATAGTCTTAGAGTTCTTATCCTTTTACCTTTTTCCTGTACTTGTGTTGTTCATATGATATATTTACAAATTCAAAGTGTATTTTATAAACAGAAAATAAAACATTTTATTTGAAAAAAGGACAAGAATACTAAAGATTTTCAGCTTTAATGTAAACTGTTGCATGTGTTGCATACATTATATTTAAACAAATATTTTGTGTATAAAGGTTTTATGAAGCATGGTATGGAGTGTTTTGATAAAGCATCCTTTAAAAATGCAACTAGTGCAAATTGTGCAAGCATGATGGCTCCTAAACCAGAACCAGAATCTTCATCTGCATCTCCAGAACCAGAATCAAAAACTCAAGAATGTCAGTAAGTAAACAAAAGTATTGGTGCATAGCATTGAGGTTTGTTTTTATTACAAAGTACAAAAAATAAGAACACACCAATTACTACTAATGGACTATCAAAATCCTAGGTTGAAAAAGTAAACACAGTACAACTGGGCAAAAGAAGTGAAAAAATGAAGTAAGGACAAACAACAGTTCACAAATACTACTGAGTGAGAGAAAGTTAATGATTGATCAACATGAACCAAAAAAAAAACCCACAAAAATCTGGGAATGCACTTTGATGCTCTGGAAGTGTAAATCATTCTTGCATAAATATATATACTCTCATTCTTGCATAAATATATATACTAGTAGATATATTTCTAGCTGTTACACAAATTAATTTTTCCCTAAGAAAATCTCTCTTGCCATTTAACCTTCCAGAACTCCGCTATTTTTACCATTTACTATTTTCAAAATATCTGTTTTAAGTACCGTTTTTAAAATGACCGATTGAATGAGATAGAAATTGAGAAAGGGAATAGACTTCAGACTTCATAAAGAATTTTGCAGCACCACATTTCTTCGGAAATTGAGAAATTTAAACAAATGTTATGTTTGTCTTTTAGCAAGATACTGTATTGATAAGGCCACCCTTAAAAAATTATTTGTTTGATGTTACCTACCCATGCCTCATGGGGTTAGGTAGGTATGTTGGGATTTCTTTTTTTTTTTCTTGGCCAACAACATAAATTACATGTTTTAGAAAATGACATAAGAGCAGGAAAAAATGTTTAGATAAAAAGTTTGAAACAATTTGTGTCATAAAATGGATATTTTTTAAAACTCAAGAAGAGATTTTATATGAATTTATTAGGGTTAAATATACTTATCCTGGTTTTTACTATTGTAAATATAGAATATTTCGCATTTAAACGTTTTAGTATGTTCTCAATCGCAAAAAAACATTGAGGAGACAGAGATTTAAAACATCCGGTAATGTATGAAATCTACTCACCTGGAATCAAGGTAAGTTCAGTTTTATATGGCGTTTAATTGGACAACCAAAATACACCAAAAAACAAAAATTTATACCATCTGGTGGCAGATTCTGGTAAGTATATTTAACCCTATGAATTCATATAAAATCTCTTCTCGAGATTTCAAAAATATCCATTTTATATGAATTTGGTTAAATATACTTACCATTGTATTTTCTATTATAAATGTAGTATACTCGCTGATTATCAAGCAGTATTTCTCTGTAGGCGGCGGATAAATTCCTGATAACACATGAAGAAAAAATATTTTTCTTCAAAATGATACATCATTAAACAGTTTTTCATACGACCACAAAAATTTTTGCGGTCGTATATTGGTATGACGTTGGCGTCGTCGTCGTCGTCGTCGTCGTCCGAAGACACATTGGTTTTCGCACAATAACTTTAGTTTAAGTGAATGGATCTCTATGAAATTTTACCATAAGGTTCAATACCACAAAGGAAGGTTAGGATTGATTTTGGGGGTTATGGTACCAACAGTTAAGGAATTAGGGGTCCAAAATAAGCATTTTTGTAACTTCCAGACAATAACTTGTGTTTAAGTGTATGGATCTCTCTGAAATTATACCACAAGTTTCCATACCACAAAGGGATGGTTAGGATTGGCTTTGGAGGGTTATGGCTCAAACCGATAAGGAATTAGGGGCAAAAAGGGGAAAAAACAAGGGTTTCCTGGTAAACGGACAATTTAAAAGTAGTGTAAGGGAGGTAATCTAAAAACAAAATTGTACAATGTTGGATTACCTCCCTTGCACTGCTTTTAAAATATATATTTAAGACTTTTATGATGTATTTAAATTGGTAATTATGGTTGCAAACTCCATTGGAAATTTGAGTTGAGATTATGACCATATCTTGAGGGAAAGAATTTTTTATTGGAAAAGGGGGGGGTGGGGGAGGTGTGTAAAAAAGAAATTATGGGGGCATTTATTTTTTCCTTTCAGATTTCAGAAATAAAAAAGAAAATTTCTTCAAATATTTAAAAAAAAAATTAGTTACTACTAGTCATCTTCCTGAAAAAAAAAACATATAATACATATACTGTAACACTTAACATATTTTGTATATATATATGGTAAATTATATGGCCTTCCAAATACCGTTTCGATCCCTAACATCACTGAAGAGACATTAATTGTCGAAATCCGGATATGGTGTACAAATTTTTGCACCTCATGTTTGTGTTATACCATCTTTCCCACAAGTTTATTGTTTTTTGTTTGGCATTAAATTAATATTAAGATCCATTTTGTTAGATCTGGTGATCAATTTATTTGGCAATCGCCAATGGCAGTCAGCAGGGTTTAAGAAAATCAGTTGTTCGACCTGTAAGTCAAATGCGTTTTGTTAAAATAGACTTTTTCACTTTTTTGGTCTTTTGAAAATTGTTGTTTGTGCTGTATTTAGACCCCTCTACCAAGAAATTTGTTTTACATGCACGAGTATAAAAATTGCGGTTTTTATCCAACGCAATCATAGGTTTGAACGTTGTTTTCAATTTAGACTTGTTTATATTTTTTCGTTTGGGCTTGTATTATATTTTCCTTCGGGTTTATATGATCCGTTCATCCTAGTTCGACTCTTTAAAATTAAAGAGTCTATCCTAAATGGAGGTAAATTATATGGGCTTCCAAATACCGTTTCGATCCCTAACATCACTGAAGAGACATTAATTGTCGAAATCCGGATATGTTGTACAAATTTTTGCACCTCATGTTTGTGGTTTACCATCTTTCCCACAAGTTTATTGTTTTTTGTTTGGCATTAAATTAATATTAAGATCCATTTTCTTAGATCTGGTGATCAATTTATTTGGCAATCGCCAATGGCAGTCAGCAGGGTTTAAGAACATCAGTTGTTCGACCTGTTAGTCAAATGCGTTTTGTTAAAATAAACTTTTTCACTTTTTTTTGTCTTTTGGAAATTGTTGTTTGTGCTGTATTTAGACCCCTCTACCAAGAAATTTGTTTTACATGCACGACTATAAAAATTGCGGTTTTTATCCAACGCAATCATAGGTTTGAACGTTGTTTTCAATTTAGACTTGTATATATATACATTTATATAATGGAATTTCAAGTATTTAACAACCCTTTTACTGTAATATCTTGTCTATTATAAACAAATTTACTGTAATACTTTGCAGGAATTTTAAGTCCCTCAAATAAAATCATACAAAAGTTGGTTCAGAAGACCGATCTGCTGCATCTAAAATTTATTTTGTCGAGGCTCCTTTATATAAAGCCCAACTTGGAGCAATTGCTCGTGTGGAATGACCCTTTACTTTTGAATTGTCATTTGAATATGCAGATCTAATTGTTTGGACAATCCAGCTTGAAATTGTAACTGACGTTTCAGGCTAATGTGGTTCTTTCATTGCCAAAAATAACTTGACCTTGTCAGATGCCTCTAACTTTTGTCTGATATTCTTAGTCTTATCCAAATAAATGATAATTGACCTTTTTGAATCTAATAACTCTCTTTCGGGAAAATGCGGTACATGAATTTTTTCCCAAAGTGACTTTGCCTATCTTGTTTTGAAAGTCCATGTCTGATAAAGGTTATACCTTTCTCTTGAACCTTCATAGATGCTTTATCAGTTCTAAGACTTTACAGATCACTAATTCGTCTAAAAGTTGTTATAGCTATGAGAAAAACTGTCTTAAAAGTTATAAACTTTAAAGATGCCTCACATAAGGGCTCAAAAGGTTCATTCTCTAAAGCTTTGAGAAATATCTCTAAATCCCATTCTGGTAATAAATTTGTCTTAGGAGGTCTAGAATGAAAAACTCCTTTTATCAACCTTGAAATATAAGGATGTTGACCAACAAGATAATTTTCAATAAGAGACAAACAAGCTGACTACGTGGAGCGATATCCAGATATTGTTCTGTACTGTAAACAGAGATGCTAGAAATCAGCAATCTGACTTAAAGTAGCTGAATAGGGATCAATTTGTTTCCCACCACACCAGCTACTGTACTTTTTGAATTTTACGATATAGTCTCGTTGTGTACCTTTACTCTAAGATGCATTGCGCCAGTTTCTAGTCAATTCCTTTGAAATTTCTGTCGAGAGGAGCCATGGGGCTAAATTCAACATTTGAGGATTCGGATGACATATCTTGGTTTTTGGTTGGATCAACAAATTCTCTCAATGTGGCAGTCTGATAGGAGGCACTATTAATAACTGGAGAATAAATCATCCAATGACGGAACTTGTAAAAACTCGACTGAACTATCATGAATTGGAAAACAATTCTTGTAGTCCTTTTTATATGCAGAAATTCTGTCTGTTTTTTTAACGCCAAGAATTTTCTAAAATGTCAACCTGTGCTGGGTCTAAAACCAAACCGATATTACATCTCTCTTGAGCAATATCCTCCTTAAATATTTTGGATAGAAAGTTTACATTATTGTTTGTCTACCCTTGATCTGACTTATCATGATCATTAGAAAGAGAAATACTACCATGCACATTTGAATTTTGTACATTATCATGTTTTATAAACCGTTTACATTTACGATTATTGACAGTATCAAATTCTTCAGTGTTATTTTTAACTGGACTACCTCCAGACACACTTTCTTCATCTGACCTTGTATCCAGATCATTTCTTTCACATTGCTGAACATGTAAAGATATTTCTGACCTTTTGTCAATATCTAGGTTCATATAAACCCTTGACGACCCAATATCTTGGTCCAAGTCTGGTTCTAATGGTATGAATGGCCTACGCTCCTCTGATGGGATGTTACCCATTACATTGCATTCAGAAATTTATGATAAAAGTTCTCCTCAAGGTTATGGAGTTTTTTTTTATCATATTCAGCCTGCATGTTAGCTGATTTTGAAGCCCTAGTAGCCTTTTTACCTGCTGACTTCTTCTCTGGTTCTGTTTTTGTCCTAGCACTGACCTTGCTGGGCTATGAAGAGGAACGGTCTTCTTTCAACAATACCGTGCATGGTGCAACCGGTGCCGACTCTTCATACATATGTATCGAGTCATTCTGCTTTCCCGTCTCATCCATGAATAACCATGGATACAACAATCTTGTATTTAAATCATTTTTTTGTAGATTTTGATGAGAACATCCGTTCAATTAAACGCTAAAAATAAAACTGAACTAACCTTGATTCTAGGCGAGTAGATTTCATACATCATCGGATGTTTTAAATCTTGGTCTCCTCGATGTTTTTTGGGATTGAGAACATTTTAAAACGCGGAATATTCTATATTTATAATAGTAAATATCATGGTAAGTATATTTAACCAAATTCATATAAAATTGTTCAGGTAGACTGCTTTTTAGGTGGGAAAGTAGGCAACATCAAACAATTTAATTTTTATTTTTGGCCTAAAAAGCAACAAGATTTATTGTATGCAATGCTTGGGTGTAAGTCATTTGATAGAAACAAATTTTTAATTACCAAATTTATCTACCTCATAAAAAGGCATTAGGCTTTTCTGATTTTTGCTTTGAATGCAGTATATGTACTTGTAGCATATTTATGTTAAAAAACTTTGCGGAAGGTATTTGCAAAGATAAATACCAGCGAATACAAATGCAGCTTACATGCATATAAAACCATTGAATAAATATTGATGGATATATATATTCAACTTTAATTGCATGTTTACCACACATAACCTCAATTGAACTTTGAAACTGGTAAAACAACACCCAGTGATCCATACAGAAAATCAATTAAGGTGAGATAGACAAAAGATAACAAATAATACTCCCAGCCGAATATGCAACTTTATTGTGTGATAACAACTTCATTAGATAATGACCTTTATCGCTATTTTGTGTATTTTTCCTTTGATCTTTTTTGTGATCATTTTTTCATAGCACGCTACTCGCTTGAGATAGAAAATTATAGCTAGAACTTAAGGGCGCACCCGCCGTTGTCATTACCAGGCCTACTCCTTTAAGCATATGAGTAAACACGTAAAAAGTAAATATACAGTAAGAAATTTTACCTATGGAAGAGATTTAATACTGTAAATTCAGAAATTAATTATTGTGAGATTTTTATTAATGGGAATAATACGACTGAATGAGTATTGCAATAATAAAAACTCACATTCTTATATCAGAAATATAACTGTATACAGATTTTCCTGAAATCGCATTAATCTCGCATTTTAGTACATTCTACAAAATTCGCAATTATAAATGCACGCAATTATTTCTGATTTTACAGTATTAAACAAGATAATTTGTTGAGAATTTCTTTTTTCAGAGGAAAGACTTCTATGCGGAGTGTTCCTCAATATATTGGAGTATTTTTGGTTATGCTCTTGTATATATAGACCTTATTGCTATTTGGAAATCTCCAAGAATTTGTGCTTCTTGAACTATTGACGTCCTACAACAATCACTTTTCCATTGTGGCGTCAGATATTTTCTATTGTGACGTTAAAATTTTACGGGAACCTTTGTGATGTCCAGTAATGGCGGACAAATAGCGATAAGGTGTATTGCATATCTGTATATATTTCTGTTAAATCTTCAGTATATTATACTTTAAGGCGTACAACATCGATGTTTGAATGTTATGTCCAGCAGGTTGAAGCTGAGTGCGGAGAGGATGCAGTAGAGTTTATTTCAACGGTTAAAGGCAGATTCATGAATGTTATACTCGTAAACCTTAATTGTCCAACAAGTGGTAATTACACATACATGTGTTGTAATATCCTAAGTAAAAGAATGAATGTTTAAACTGCATTATGTGATCAAGAAATAAGTAGATATGGGTTATTATTAATTGAAAGGGGAAAGATGAGATCTTAAAACATAATTTATTCCTGTCACGTCAAGGGAATGAATGTCAAATTTTAGGTACTTTGTTACTAATATCTTATTTACACCATGTTGAAAGATATCATTGAAAGTATTATCTGATTACAAATCAGCAATTGTGGTTATACACTTCCAAAGCAAGATTTCTAGGATTGAAAATATCTGTGACTTTTTATCTATGACTATGTCTTACATTCCTCAAAATATCCTGATGTACTTAGTACTAAGGATGATTAAGGTGCAAAAGGTGCCAATGAGACAACTCTCCATCCAAGTCACAATTTGTAAAAGTAAACCATTATAGGTCAAAGTACGGCCTTCAACACGGAGCGTTGGCTCACACCGAACAGCAAGCTGTAAAGGGTCCCAAAAATTACTAGTGTAAAACCATTCAAACAGGAAAACCAACGGTCTAATCTATATAAAAAACGAGAAACACTTATAAACCACATTAACAAACGACAACCACTGAACATCAGGCTCCTGACCTAACACAAGTGCAAACAAATGCAGCTGGTTTAAACGTTTTAATAGGCGCCAACCTTCACCCAACCTGAAACAATAGTGTAACATCACAACATAGAAAGACACACTATAAAATATCAATTGAAATGACTTAACTCAATCAAAAGACATATAAACAAAAACAAGTGAACATACACTGAATGAATAAATTTGATCTATGACACAATGTTAATACAAAATTAATAAAACAAGGGGGCTAAATTTAAAACAATATCAGAAAGACAACCATAACCTTGGACAAAATGCCGCTAAATAAAATAACGTACACAGGTAAATAAAAATAATTTTGTTGTAAGGTATACATGGAGTACGGAAATAATTTTTACAAAATAAATAATTTTGTTGTTCCTAATACGAGAACAAAAGTGAAAATGTATCGTCATACTAAACACTTATCAAAGGTGGTATATATTAAAAATTAGTGAGACTAGATATAACACTGAAAAAGTAAACATTAAATAATAAAAATACAAAGGTAGTACTACATTTAAACATGGGCTCGGCCTTTATATTTGTAAATTTTATTCCTCTTTATCACTTGGGATAAATTTTGAATATAAAGTCCCAGCCTATGTAAAATGTCTTAAAAATCTATGTCTTACATGAATTATTTCTTAAGTAATATATGTTGACATGAAATTTTTATATAGGACAAAATGGTGTAGAGACAAGTACACAAAGAAGTTATACCAAAAAAGCTGAAGGTAAATTTCAAAACACTGATTCTGGCTTAATTTCTTCCAAAAGTTAGAACAGACATGTAATATTAGTTTCCACAAGGAATTGTATATTTAAATATGCAATTCCTTGGTTTCCAATCAACCATATCAAGCATAAACTTGGGTGTTTATTATCATGCTTTTAGAGATATTCTAAATATATGTATATTGATACTTAAGAGATATATTTATTTCATATGTAGAATTAAATTTAAAATTCCATCTACCACTGAAGCAATTGATGGATAATTTTATTGAATAGATAAAGATGTATACATCATTGTATGAAATGTTTTTTTCCTGAAATATTATTTTGTTTTTGTTCAGTTTGTATACATAAATACAACTTTATTATCTAAACACTTGTTAGATCTGTAAAACAAATATTTGTAGGTGAAAATTTTATAAGGATATGAAAATGGAAATATGTATTACAAAATAGAGGGGAACTTAATTACTCTTTACATTTTAACAACCAGGGGCGGAGCTACCTTCTTAATCACAAACTGAAGGGCGAGGGGTCTGGGGCCGCCTAAGGCCCCAGTAGGTCCAAGACAAAGCCCTGGTAGGAGTGCAAGGGGGCGAAGCATATATATAGCGTTTCAAAACAATGACAATCGTAATAAAACTTGTACATTTTTGTTGTGTCTATTTTGTCAAGTATTTGTTTAACTTCGAGTCGAATGAAGACAGAACATTGCCGTTTCGTTTTATGTGCGCCGTGAGACCTTTAAAAACCACGGGAATTTGCTCCATATTTTTTGTTACTATAAAACACCCATGCAACCACGCATCCCATATTGCCTGCTAGGACCCGAAACTATTTTAGTGTTTCGGCAGTTAAAGCTTGGGATGGTCATCTTAAGATGCATTACTTTAATATATAATCAAATATGAGGATTATTCATGTAAATAATGACAGATCTGCCATCATCAGGGGTCCAACTGTCAATTTTATGTTAAAGTATTTAACTTTGATCTAGTAAGCATGTCTCCTACACTTTTATGTTTGCTATATGCAACTATTGCTGCAATATTGAATACTTGTACACATTCTTCGTCAAACTGCAATAAATACCAGTGTTTCGTGATACGTTTTTTTTTTTTATTTTACGCATATATGGGTTATATTTAGTTATTAAAACTAACGGAATATTTTCTTTTTCATTCGATTTGTTTTGCTGTAATAATTCAGTACAGTCAACTGATAAAGCATCCGTAATACTATCATCTATTTCGACGTTATCATAACCCCTATCGAATAATTTCACTTTGAAATTAGTAAAGATTGTTTATTAATTTGTTATGGTCACTTGTGTTTCTTATCTGCCGTATTACTTCACCTTTAATATATCCTCGGAATACATTGTTGTGAATGACAGTTATTTCGGTGCAGATAGAGATAAGAATTTGTTTCTTTAAAATGTATTTTAATGTCAAGAATGCCATGTGTTGTAAATCTTTGACCTTTAATTGCACCAACGTCTAAGAATGACATTTTATCGTTTGAGATTTCATAGGTGAACTTTAATAAGGGTTTCCAATTATTTGCTAGACGGAAAAAATCTGTTCTATCATATATTATGAATCCATCGTCCCTATATCTGCCATGATGGTATTTTTGTCTTTATGTTAAAATGCAGAAATTGTTTTATTCATTATTTCAAACATAACCATATTGCACAATTGTTATTTGCATATATATGGGATAATTGCATAAAGTTATATAATACAACAAAGTATGTTCTACATAAACAGTGTATACTTACTTTCCACCTATTAGTTTTTGAGCTATTTCATTGATGTCTTTATTGTAGTAATTAAGGTTATTTTGATGGCATTTATTGGTGTGTAAACTTACAAACTGATTAAAATCTGATTGACTTTATGTGAATTTTGTTAGTGAAATAGTTTACACATCAAAATAACCTTAATTGCCTATGATTTGCAATGAAATGATTAAAAAAAAAATCAAATTTTTGAAACGGAAAGGAATATATTTTGGCCAGTACAAATTCTTATTCATGACGTCATGAAATGGGTTAATCAATGTGTAAACTTTTAAGTCGTCATGGTGCTGACTAATATATTTCAAGAAAAATACAACACAGAAATTATGACGTCATACAATCAAACTTAAACAACCTGTTGCAAGAAAGAACAAGGTTGCTGCATTTTTAACAGTTCAATGTTTTTTTCACCCTACAATAAATAAATCAAAAGATGCTAATCAGTAACAAAAATATTTAACACAGTCTAACAAATTATTTCAGCTGCAATTGTTTTATATTCATTTATTTTGTGATACAGCGCATACAGCAGAATAAACATGATAAACAAAAAGATTTTTAACACATTGTATATATATATATATATATATATATATATATAGATTATACCACTGCATAGAGCGCGATACGATATTTATCCACTCGAGACAGTTACATTTTCAAATTTAAAACGCGAGGCTCGCCGAGCGTTTTAAATATTTGTTACTGCCGAGAGTTGATAAATATTGTATTGCACGAGATGTGGTGGTGGAATCTGTTTTTCTAATGATTTTAAGACGATATACAGACAATCTTATTCCTTCTTTTCGATCGATCTGCAAAAAGATGTGTTTTTTTCATGTGACGTCATCAATCATGGTCGCCTTTTTTCATGACGTCTCAATAGGATATTCAGAAGAAAGCGAGAAAATTTGACGTCATCATCGAATTTTGACCAATGAAGAACTGAGATCAAACGAACCACACATTGATTAAATAAAAACAATCAACAGGTCATAAAAAAAGATAAATCGTTTAAGAATTAGAGAAGTATATATAACATGATAACAAACTTATGTTAAATTTATATTTCATGTTACTAGAAAACTTAAAAAGGGGAAGCAACAACAGAAGGACTCTGGCAGAATTAGAGGAAGAAAACCTGATTTTGGAGAATGAACGTCTACGGGAAGAAACAAAAAGGCTTAAACTTGTACAAGAAAATTTAAAACTAGAGAAAGAAGTGTTTATTTTGAAAAAAAGATCTCTCATGTGTAAATTGCAGACTGAGTATCTTGATTGTGTCCAAATTTTAAGTGAACCATAGAAACAACATGTGTAATACCGAAATCTTAATATTTTGGTGTTAAATTCTAAATAATATAACATTATTGCTATTTTTTCCCCAAACACATGTTTATACTTGGTAAAAATATTGTTTAACATTGTAACCATTTTGTCTCCTTAACATAACTCCATATCATTCAAATGACACCAACTGTACGGTATATTTTAAAATTTTTGTATCTTGGCCCTTTTTTTAAATTTTACATAAGAGGTGGCCGCGTATAAAACCGTTGCAGGATGGTAGACTAGGTGAATCTTTGTGCAAGAGATCCCTTTGGGTATATTTTTGTATACTAATGTTTAAATTCAAATAAAACCAAAATTGTATTTTTACCTGCCAGACATGAATGAAGAAAAATCCAGGCTAATATTATCTACATTGTATAAAAAAACATAAGAATAATTGATTAACTAATCAAACATTAGGAATTCTTAACTGACTAAAAATTATCTTTTTAGTGAACAAAAGTTATGAATTAGTTATTAATGAGAATATAAACGTGGTAATCTAGTTACATGTCTACAAATAACAAATTTTTCTCAAAAAAAATGTCTAGCTATGTCATTCCTCTTTGCGGTGCAATCAAAAGTTGGGTTGATATTAATGTTACCCATACAATACTCGATAGCAATTCCCTCAATATTGTTATTTATAATGATATCGTTGTGATTAATTCCAATATCATGTAAAATAACACAGGATGTTACATATTTTACAGACTGATTTGGTGTTGTTCTGAAGCCATCATGCAAACAGTTAAACCTCCTTTTTGATATTCCAAATGGTTGTTCTATTAAAACCCAAGTTCTACAAAGTGCTCTATTAAAGTTTCCCTGGCAGTTATTAACTGGACTTAGATAAGGGGTCATCAGGTATTTGGAACATGGATAACCGGAGTCGCCTAGTAACAATCCTTGGTGAATTCCTGTTAAAATAAATATATTAAATATGATGTTCACGGATCGTATTTCAAATAAATTAAATAATTGGAAACTTAATTTTAAGTATTTAGAGGTTATACCAAAACTATTTTTGAAACTGCTACTTCCCAGTTTTATGAAATGAAAATCCAAGATTTTTATATTCCATGTATACATCATCAAAGGGAAGTAATTATATAATTATCTCCCCATGATTGCTGGAAAATTATAAATTCATAAAATACAAGCACAATAATTCATTTTGCTCTCCTTCAACGTAATTCTTTTTATTTTTTTAAACAACCTATCAAGACCAAATGACCAAATATGTATATATGTTCATTACCTTTAGTGGAAAATTTGAAATGACTTTTATTAGTTATTATGCGGTATGATTTACGGTAAATATACAGGTTAGTGCATCATAAGCCTTAAAAGGCTGGATCATACTATATGATGCTAATAAATCAAATATACAATTGTAATGAATACCTAATATATGTTACATGTATTATCATATGTATTAGGGTGCACTTTAAAAATAAAGTATGTATATATCTATATGCCTTTTTTTGAAAATTTTAAATTTTGTTACCAGTTTTACTATCAAGAACATTCAAAATGACATTAAGTTACCATTTTCAAATTGTTGACATAGTCCACTTGTTCTAAATATTCAACTATCATGGACTGATCCTGGCCATTTTGCACACATAGATGTAACTCGAAAATTTGGATCACACACCATCTGTTAAAAAGTGAATCAATTGGTATATTTTAGACTATGGCAACATTTTTTTCTTGTTTGAAATATTACTATTGCATATGGGCTAAACATTATTCTAATGTAACACAGTATGTAACATCGAATCTGATTGGCTGACATTCAAATTTTCAGGAAGTAAAATACATAGAATACCTGCCACAATGTAGTATTAAATTGCACATAACAATTCTGCTAATTTGAATATCTAAATAAATGCATGATTTTAATTGTTGCATTAAGATATAGATATCTATTTTGTATTTAACTATCTTTCCAAATTTGCTGTTCAAAATTCATTTCCTGGGTACCATGTAAAAGTAAATGAATCAGACTCTATTAGTGAATTATGATTTTTTCAACACAAGACGTTACCATATTGTTGGAATTATTTTATTCCGTTAACGTAAAGCTTACTTGAATATTTAAAGAGTGCATTCCTTTTCTGTTTACGGAGTCGGCTTCATTTTCGTGAGGGCGGATAATCTTAACAAATGTTCTATATATGCATCCTAGTACATTCGGAAATCCTTAAAGTAAAAACAATTCATTATAAGTTGATCAGTATCAAGTGCAAATGGGTAAATTAATATTATATTCATTCAAAATTCTTCAAAAGTATTTTGATATTAGATTCTATACACTATTATTATATCTTCTGTACGTTTGTGCAGTGATAGTTGTCAATACACTATTTTGGCAAAGTTTACGCTGATAGAAAACATGGTACACTCTGTCAATCTACACACTACATTAATAAATAATAAGATAGTTTATGCTAAGGGGGATGGGGGTTGAGGGGGGGGGGGGGGGGGGGGGACTTCTGGCCCATTGACTAAAAAGGTATTGAGAGTTATATCACAAAATGTGAAAAATTCATTAATCTGAACCCCTTTATGCTCAGGATACATTACATTTTAAGTAGTTGTAGTGTTAAATTTAATTGTTTGCAACAAAGATATAGTTGTAGGAGGCCATAGTTCAAAATGGCTAAAATCAACATTTTTGAAAATTTTATGATTAGTGTATATTCTTGTATTGCTTACCTGTGTGGAAAATACGGCTTTATCATTATTTGAATGTTAGTTTCCTACATAGTGCATCGCAAGTTCTACTACTTGCAGAAGACAAATAAGGAACAGGTACATGGATTTTCTTGGAAATCGTGCTCAAAGCTCTAAAATTACCCCAAACTACATGTCCCCACTCCAAAAATACCGAATATCGTATCGAAATAGACATCTTTATAATTAAACAAATCTTACAATTTTCTGTTTTAAGGTAAAAAAAAAATACAATGTAGAATGATATCAAAAGGCTTTAAATAGTAGCTGGCTATGGTTTCAGATTTATTTTAATTTTTTATAGTGTCCTTGATATTTTGTCAACTACATAAAGACAACGTTTTTGCTTGCTATAATATAATTTCTGACACCTCTTTTTAACTAGAAAGTGCCTCAGCACTAACTCTACATATCATTATAATAATGGAAGCATAAAAAGATACCTCTGTAAATGGTATCAACAATTATTGGCATTTAAGTAATTACATAAGTAGAGGTAGCCCCGTATTTTTTTAACTTGTCCACATGGTAACGTGGCTTTTTTCAAGATAACAATGGAACACCACGTTCACATCTATATCATTATAATCAATTTTCTGTGTTTTATAAAAAAAAAAGCACAGTGTATGTGATGTCGAAGTATCAGTGGTATTAAAAAATGCCACAAAGTGTGAAGATGTCCAATACATTACGGTCAACTGCATAACAATTGACCTAATTTTGTTCTGTAGTGGACATTTTTGGTGTGTAGTTGACAATATCGTTATCTCCTCGTCCGTTTCTGCATCTTCAGATTCCGTAGTTACTTCAACAGAACCATCCTTAGTCTCACTCGTCTCGCCGTTGCCTTCTGTCCTTGCCAAAACCATATAAGATTTATTCACAGGGAAGCAGACAAGAAAAGAATAGAAGACATTTTACTCAAATGCAGGACCAGGCCCGTCAGGAGTACAGGATACGGGTTTTTTGTTTTTAACGGAAGGAAGGAAAAGAGCTTAGTCTCTTCTGTTGTTTCTGTTTTCTCATCGTCTCCAGTTGTTGTACCTATCTCCTCGTCTGTTTCCGCATCTTCAGATTCCGTAGTTACTTCAACAGAACCATCCTTAGTCTCACTCGTTTCGCCGTTGCCTTCTGTCCTTGCCAAAACTTACCATACGCCGTCTGCAACTGCTAAACCTTCTCCAGTCGTTATAACCGACTTTTTGTCTGCCTACACTAGGGACACAGGGGATGATGTTGCTTTTAACGTCCACATTCCAACATTTTAGCCTACCAATAGGCAAGCAACCATCACCATCGAGGAATATCGAGACATCTAGATCTTCACCTCCGAGGATTGTGCTTCCCTCTTTGCCACTTTTCGCCTCCAGTGAGGACTCTGCAATACAAACCTTTTCTATGGATATACAAGGAGTTTTTCCCCCGCCTATACCAACAGACCAGACGGAACTGGAGGACCATTTGAGGTCCTTATGTAACTGCATTGACCAGTTTGGAAGGCAAAGAGAAGCCGCGAAACTCAGACTAGAAGAGTTGAAGAAGGGAAAATCTTCATTTGAGAAGGACAAAGAGCTCAGGAGAAAAGCCGAGTCAGAGAACAGAGAGCTCCGCGGACAGCTTTCTGAAATAAAATGGAAGGAAAGCCTCTTTGCTGACAGTTCCCCGAATAGTAGTAACTGTTATAATCGAAGAATTGTGATTTACAGGAAAACTTCTTTTTATGAAGTGACTTTAAATTAATTATTATAAATATTGGTGATTTTGAATTTATTGAGAGACAGTAATCTTAATATTTTAAAATGTGTTTACTTGATTGTTATTATTTTACTATATTCAATGTACTCTCATGAGGACTAATGTGCATTGGTTGGTGCACATTAGGATTTAAGGGCATAGGATACAGTTTCGATCCCACGGTGAATTTTTGACGAAAATTTGCATACAAGATATTTTTCACATGAGCAATTCAAATTTGTAATAAAAACTATACCTTCGCGTGCTACTTTAAGAGATAATTGGGGTCGAAATTTCAGACATTTACTCAATATTTCGGATTTTTTTTTTTACATTTCTATCCTTTGGATAGACATACCTAACTTTTTTGTTTTAAAAGATAAACACAATCGGAAATGTAAAAACATTTGCAAAAATCTTCTGTAAGCCCCCAGCACACTAGACAGAGACCATGAAGATCCCAATACGATCTATAAAAAAGATCGCGGTGAGATCGTGGTTTGATCGGCTTGAATATTCAATATTTTATAGTTTTCACGTTCATGCTACGACCTTGCTATGATCCTTATAAGATCCTTCTACGATTCCGCTACGACAGTAACACGTTCTAGTTACGATCTTGTCACGCTCTTGTTACGTCTAAGACCTTACCACGACTTACACGATCTCTGTACGCTTCTACCAAGACCTTCCCGATCGCATTACGATCTCAATACGAGTCTACTACGATCTAACCACGACTCCACTACGTTGTCACTACGCTCTTCGTTCCTATAGATATCTTGACTTTCCCATTATACACACCAGTTCTCTTGAGAAAACATTCCACTAAAAGTATCAAAAACATTTAGAGGTCGTGGTTTTAAAAGTAGAGGTATCAACAGAATGAGGTCGTGCAATTGTCGTGGCTAGGACGTAGTAGAACGGTAGTGAGGTCGTACTGAGGACGACAAGCGCGTAGTAGCAGCGTATTATTGTCTTCCTGGTCGTAGAATAATCGTATCAATATCGTAGTAGAAGCGTAATAAAGACGTAGTAGAATCGGGATAGTCTCAGTGAAATCGTAGTAAGGTCGCAGCTATAAATTTGTATAACAATTCTTTGAAAACAATTAATTTTTATCAAAGTTTCAGGATTTTAGAAAAAAAACGGCATTTTTTGCTGTACATTTATCTAATTTAAAAAAATTCATCGGTGACTTTGCATAAAAATTTGGTACATATAATCTCCATAATTAATCAAACATAATGCAATTTTAAAAAAGAGGGGTCCATGAACTCGTTTTGAAGTTATATCAGTCTGAATGATAAAAACCAGTCGAAAAATGGATCTTTTCCCAATATGTCACAGTTTGACGTCGCGAAAAATTACAATTCACGTTAGCAACGTCATTATCTCCCCTGTAACTGTATCGTATGCCCTTAAGAGAGGGGGAGTGTAGTGATAGACG